CCATTTCTATCATTGACCTTCCTGTCTGCAGAGAAGGTTTCAAGTTTCTCCAGTGTCTCAGCGGGGACTGATGGAGGCTTGAGTTTGTCCTGGGACGCAGAATGGGATCAGTAGAGAACTCAGCCAGCAGCAGCAAGGACCTATTATTTTAGCTCTCTGAACTCAAAATAGGGAGCCCTGGGGGGACAGAAAGGGAGAAGAGGCAGCACAGAGAGGCACAGGCTGATGGAGCGCATCTGCTGCGTCTTTGATGCATCTGGAATCAGTTGCGATTTGTGGTTCTGATTCTATTAAAATCTGGGCATAGGAAGGGTTGTTCAGGGCTGGGGTAAGTCAGGGAACACGTCAGGAAGGATGGATTAGAATCAGGTCCTACAAGAAAAGCGTGATTTGTTTTCAACTTTTAAAAAGCAAGCATTTTTACTCTACAAAGGAAAAATGGGAAAATTAAGACCAGTACAGAGAAGAAAACAAAAGTACCCAGCATTCCACTGAGCACTGCTGGTTATAGGCTCAGTGCCTTCCTTCTCCGGGGGTCCCTTGTCTAGGGGGCGTTTCCTCAGGTTGTTGAGACTGCAGAGGGAATGTCCAAGCTGTGTGGGTTGGAAAGGGTAGGATTTGGGGTGGTGGACAGATGGGGTCTGCAGGAGGCCTTGAGGCTAGCGAATCGGACTTGCCTTTACCTCGTGCTCCTGGGCATCTCCTCTTGGGCCCCACTTGATGAAGGAAGGTGTTTTATCCCAAAGCAGCACCCTCCTGTTCATGAGATTTCTGCTTTCTTGTTTGCTGCTCCCCCATTTCCTTTCCCAGCCGGTGCCCTCAGATGGCCCTGGGCTTGCCGCCAGCTCCTGTGCCCCTCTCTAACCTGTTTCCTACCACCCCTTGGGAAGCAGCAAGGTGTCTGGTCACACCTGATGGTGCTAACTCACCTAATATGTGTGATGACTCGTTGCTTCTGCTTACCTCACCAGAGCCATGGACCCAAGTGACTCTCCAGGCTGAACAATGTCAAGCAAAAGGAGAGGGCATACCTCAGGGCATAGCTCTACTAGGCACAGAGAGGTGGCTGCTGCTGCCAAGGCCCAGCTCTTCCAGTCTCCCAGCGCACACCGAGGAACTCCAGGGTGCTTCCTGCCCTGTGAGACCCTGCTCCCCAGCACCACCAGGTCCCCGGGGCAGTGTCCTAGGAGGAGGGCATTGCCACACATCCCCATGGCCTCTGGCCCAGTTGGGGTATAGGAAGAGAGGCGTAGTCATGACCGGGACCACAAGGACTCAAGGTTGTCAGCAGTGTCAGCCACCCGGGCACTAGCCCTGAGTGTCCAGCAATGCCACAGGATGTGGCTCTGCATGCAGGAGCAGGGCCACAGCTTCATTAAGTCACAGGCTCTGCTGGTAGTGGGAGGAACAACTGTGAGGAAATGGCTGTGGGCCCTAGCTGAGCTGTCACTGCCTGGAAGGCAGGAGATCCTGTGGTGGTGTTGGGATGAGGCGCCTCAGGCATTCTCGTTGGCAGTAGAAGGCAGGCAGGTGTTGGTGACAGTGACAGGGCAGGGCACAAGGGAGGCAGGCCACCAGTGTGGTCAAGAGGGGCTCTGAAGTGGGAACCAGTCAATGAGCAAGCATCCTCTTGGGCTGTGCTGGGCTGTGAAGTGGCCTTCAGAGTCCCCAAGGACACTGCAGGAAGCCCTGGCCAGCAGCACAGTCAGCTTGCTGGGGGGAAGGGGGCAGAGCTTGTGCAGCAGAGAAGCCTCCAAAGGAGACAATCCCAAGTAGAGTCCTCCCCCATGGTGACAGAGACTGGCGCTTTACTTCCATCAGGAGGTGGGAATGTGGGAGTGGCAGCTTCCCATATGTGCAGCAGAGGCTGTGGGGGTTCGGTGGACCGAAGACCTGGCTTGAGCTTCTGTGCTCGGGTCAAAAACACTGCTCTGAGTGTCTCCTCCCTGGCTGGCTGCAGACCACCTGCCTTCTTGCTCTTTCACAGTTGTTGTGAGCCTGGGGTGGGTGGAAGGCACAGTAGGGAGGTCAGCTTTCTAGGCAACTTGGTGACCTGCACAGACCCATGTATTTCTGTTGTCCCCCGGCCCAGCAGCAGGGAGCTGCCCATGTACTCAGAAACCTGCATGCTGGGGTGTCTGCCTGGGACCATGCAGTCCTGCCTCTTCCTACCCTGGGGGTCTGTGTAGCCTCAGGTGAGACTGGACCGGCCAATGCGGGTGGTGTCTGCATTTGAAATACTAATGTCAGCCAAGAGACCTATTCTTGTGGCTCAGTACAGCTAATGTTGACCTCAGCTTCTCTTGGTTCTGATTTCCTGAGAGGTCAAGAAGAATTTCCAGGACAGCTATGGAAAAGGTGCTTTTGCAGAGGCGAGGTGAGCCCAGGGTGGAGAGGGGCAGCCACTGAGAGACAGGGTGAGAGGTGGGCAGGATGGGATCTGCCTGCCATCACCCCAGCATGTGGATGTCTGCCCAGCCTCCCTGTGGGCAGACAGATGAGCCTATCCTCTAGGCAGACACGGGCATCAGAACTTAGGAGAAAAGGCACTCCCCTGTCTCCCGTATCTCCCCCTCTGCAATTATCTCTGCTGACCCAGGCTGAGATTGGATGACCAGCACAGCGAGGATGTGGAAGTGGTTGGGCATGGGTTGCCCTCCTGTGCTTTCCTGGGAGGTGACAGCCTGGAGACCTGGGCTGTGTGCCCCAGTAGCCCTGCCTGCTCCCACATTCCCTGTGGTGTACCTGTGCATCTGGTGAGCAGTTGCCAAAACAGCCACCTTCATGAGGTTCTGCACCTGCTCTGGGCCACCTGCAGTAGTGCACCCTCACCCTCCGCCTCCCACCCTCCTGCGGACAATAGCAGTGGAGCTGAGACAGTGTACTACTCCCGAGTACTGAGCCAGGTTGCCCATGTGGCCTTGGGTTCCTGGCTCACTGTTTCTGTCCCTCAATTTTCTTACCCGTAAGAGGAAGATATGAACCTCACGTGGTGGTTGGTGAGGCCTAAGTTAGAACAGTGAAGAGCTTACAGCAGTGCATTTTAAAGTGTAGGATATACTACAGTTCAGATATGGTGAGGCCTACAGATCAGGAGGTGATGGCCCTTGAAAGGATTGTTACAGATCCCAAGAGACAGGACATGACACATGGGGCCACACAGGTACCTGGGTCACCCGGGAGGCGGGGAGGGCAAGCGACAGGGTAACACACACACACACACACACACACACAACTTCATTGTGCTTTCCTTGGGAAGGAACGGTGAGGTGGGGAAAGGAGGTTTATGCTTGGCCACCTTGAAGAGCCTCACAGCCTAGAGGGTTGGAAGCTGTCCCAAGTGACATGATGACCTACCTGTGGGATGATCAGGGCAGGGGCGCTGGTCTCCAGGCGCTGTGGCTGGGTTGGTTTAGATGGGAAAGGTGCACACTGTGTCGAGTTGTTTCCTCCCTCTCTGGGAGTTGTCTAACCCGGGTAGGGTCGATGAGACCTCGGATGTCATAACGTTGGAACAAAAAGCATGCTCGGGCTGGCTCACACAGCAGGAGGGAGTGGTGAAGTATTTGATGAGTGTGGTATCTGTTGATTGGAACCTTCCACATCACAGTACAGGTATACATCGCTCTGCAGCCCATAGATAGTCATAATTTGTCAATGTTCAATGAAAATATAAAGAATACTTAATACTTTGACACACATGTTTGGGGGAAAAATGAGAGAAATGCATTCAGGAGCCAGAGGTGTGATGCCAATGTGCAGGCCTGGAGGAAGTGACCTCTGGCCAAGGCTCCAGGCCCTGACCTGCCAGGCTGTTAGAGGACTCAGGGTGGTAGAAGCCCACAGCTCAGTGCCTGGCCACCAGGAGCATCTCAGAGCTGGAGAGCACACTCTTGTTCCCCTTTAAGGTAAATTCTAAGGGGCCCTTTTGCATTTTTATCCATGGGTCCTTGCCTCTGAGAGTCTGTACTGAAGGAAAAGGAAAACACTTTGAAGCTCAGGGACATTTTGAGGCCATGGAGAAGGATGAGAGATCCATAGCCAGCTAATGCCTGTGGCAGTGGGCCTGAGCGAGCTGGCTGGAGGGGAGGGTGGAGGGCTACTGGACCTGCTGGGAGTCTTCCTCTGCTGCTGCCTCCTCCCTGAGCTCTGACTGTCCCCTCCAGAATGCTTCCTGGGTGGTGTCTGCTTTGGACCGGGGTCCCTTCTGGGTGGGACTGGGAAGTGGTACTGGGAACGGCCTGCTCAGAGGCCATTCAAGGGCTGGTCAGAGAGGTGACGAGGCACATGCTCAGCCTCATGTCCTCTGCCCTCTTGTCCTCTTGGTTGGGAGTTGAGAGAAAGGAGAACAGGAACAGGGCTCCCCGGGTAGGTTCCTCAGCTCTCCAGGCAGAGGCATCTGCTGCTCAGCAGCCATTTGGAGCCCCCGGGACTCTTGCTGGCCAGCAGCCCTCCTAAGGTCCGAGGTGCCCCATGTGGGTCCTGGTGACATCCCCTCCCTTGTCCCGCTGTCACGGGGTCTGCCTCAATCCTTGCAGATTGCTCTGTCAGAAGACCAGAATGATGGTTCGTAAACAACAGAAATTGACTTCTCATAATTTTAGAAGCTGGAAGTCTGAGATCAGGGTGCTGGCCTATCTTCTCATATCCTCACAGTGGAGAGCAAGAGAGAGGAAGCAGCCTTTCTACTGAGCTACATCCCAGCCCTGTTTGTTTATTTTGAGATAGGGTCTCATCAGGTTGCCCAGGCTATGCTCAAACTTGGAATCCCCCTGCCTTCCAGAGTACTGAGACTGTAGGCTTGGGTCACCATGCCCTGCTTTGTGTCTCCTCTTATAAGGGCACTAATCTGGCTACTGAGGACTGCACCCTTGTGGCCTAATCACCTCCTAGTGGCCCTACCTCCTAACCCTGTGACATCTGGCACTGAGATTTACTGTATGAATTGGGAAGATCCAGACACCATGAAGCAGGGTCTTCCTCCTCTGCTGTCTCCCCAGCATCCTGTTTGCTGACATCGAGGGCTTCACCAGCCTGGCATCCCAGTGCACTGCCCAGGAACTAGTCATGACCCTCAACGAGCTCTTTGCCCGCTTTGACAAGCTGGCTGCGGTAAGTCACCCCAGCCTGGGGCCAGAGGGCAGCTGGGTCTAGGCTGTTGAAGGAAGGCCGCATGGTCAGAGACTCAGGATGGGCACATGGCCGTGTGCTTTCAGAGCTGCTGTCGGGAACTGGTGACAGGCAGAAGGGCTGCCCAGGCTGTGGCTGTGTCCTCGTGTCCCTGTCAGCCTTGCAACACCAGTGAGAGGGTGTATGTGGGGAGCCCCCACCCTACTCCAGGGAAGAGGGCGGCAAGGCCTGTAGGTTTCCAGGTCCAAACCCCCGGTGGAATTTCTGTTTGGAGTAAATCAAATGCCATATCCCATTCCTGATGAAGTTGGCCAGAGTGATAAGAGAATGAGAGCAAATCCCCATCTGGCCTTCGGGTAGCCATCTGCCTCCCGCAGAGTCCTCCAGAAGGAGGAGTCCCCCACATCTGCACAGATTGGGAGTAAGATCTAGCCGGGAGTGGTGAACAACACATCCACTCATTAAGTTCCTGTTTGCATTGTCCTCCTTTCCCAGTGCGTGGCTGTTGCCACATGGGACACTAGGCCGGGTTATACACAAGAGGCTGCTGCCTGTCTGATGGTGGCCTTACCTCCCTGAGCTTGAACAAGGCAGATGGGGACACACTTGGTGCCCAGGCACCGGATGTATCTCACATGAGTCCCAGTTACACAGGTAATTGAATCTCAGAGCCGCCCTGGCTTCACGAAGTAGCTTTGGGAGCCAGATTTGGGCTGCTCATAATCGATAATCAATGACATTCCAATTGAATGCCAACTACAGATTGATGGTGGACTGCCAGGGGAGGTGGGGAGCCTGTAGCACCTGTCACTTGGCAGCAGCGGTGGCAAGTGCTTCAGCTCTGCCTGCTTCTTGACACTGGTCCGCTGATTTAATGAACTCTTAACTCTCAGAAAGGCCTAGGGTCAGGTGAGGTTTGGGTTCAAGGTCATTCCTGCCTGCTTCAGAAAAGCTGTTGCTAGAATCTTGGGCCGAGAGTCAGATGTGCCCCTGGGATGCCGAGAAGGGCCAGGGCGCTCACACACAGACATGGGGCCTTCCCTGCACTGACAAAGCTGCCTGGTTACTGAGCCACCATGGACCCTGGCAGTGGCTCAGAGTGAGCTCTCTGGGGCCTGCTCAGCTGGTCCCCACCCACTACCCTCCTCCCTCAGGCCTCCTGATAAGCCCGGTCTGGGCCAGGCAGAGCTCTGGCACTGGGTAAGTGCTCACCACCCTAAAAGGCAAGTTATTCCAGGCATGGGGTGAATCTGTTTGCTTTTCATTGCTGTCTCTCCCACTTCTCTTTCCCACTATTTTTAATTACGAAAATGAATTTGCTTTCCAGGAGAATCACTGTTTACGCATTAAGATCCTGGGGGATTGTTACTACTGCGTCTCAGGGCTGCCTGAGGCCAGGGCTGACCACGCCCACTGCTGTGTGGAGATGGGCATGGACATGATCGAGGCCATCTCGTAAGTGCCCTCCTGAGACCTGTCCATTCGGGAGTGAGACTGACCAGCCACTGGACTGATAGAGAAACAGTGGGGAAATGGTGAGGCAAAACTGTCTCCCAGGAACCTATCTGGCCTTGCCTCAACCTCCAGTCTGGGTCTGCACCTCCAGACTTTGTGTCCCTCTGGGGCTCCTTCTGCCCCACCAGGCAGGGCAGCTTTTCTCTGAGAGGGGAAGCAGGGAGGTGGGCTCTGCAGGCCCCAGGTGAGGAGGAATCTGTGCTCCATCCAGTGCCTCCTGCTTGCTCACACACTCCCAGCTGCTGGAGGAAACAGCTGCCCCCTGCACCTCCTCACAGATGGGAGAGGGTTGAACAGCTCCCCAGGCCTGGGAGATTGAAACACAGGGGTTCCATTTTGAGAGAATTCCCCGCTTCCTGTGAGCAACAGCAACAGCAACAAGGTTCTTGGGCCAGTTCTTGGTCATCATGGGTCACGGAAGGAGCCCTGGTCATTGAGTCACGTGGACTTACATATGAGCCAAGGGAGCAGGTAGAGACTATCCAGATTCAGTAAATTTGGACTTGGGAAATACCCAAATAGGGGCAAAGGAAAAGACAGATGACAAGTTGAGAGGTCAGAGTAGCCAGCCAGGGTGCTGGCCTGGTCCATGGTTGTGGCATGGCTCTGTTTACCAAGGGCCCCCTGCAGCCTGGGCTGGACAGTTTTCACCCAGAGACCCAGAGAGCTGAGAGCCGGGACCCGTCAGGCTCTGCACAAGAGGTGTCTGTGCGCATGACGCACTGAGAGGGGCAAACTGCTGTGATTAGGGGCAGCTGGTCCCACTGAGAGCTTTCTAGAAGCTTCATGGAGAACAGACAGTGAGACATATCATCCTAAGCAAGGCATCGTGGACAGAAGCCTGCCCTGGAAATGGTACTTTCCAAGCTGATCCCAGGATGGACAAGTTCCCTGTAGCAGGTGTCAGCGCACTGAAGGGGTGGTTTGGGAGGCAGGAGGTACAAGGGTCCTGCTACCAGGCAAAGCCAGATTACTGGTCTGAAGCTGGCTGAGTGGGCCCACACCTAGGGGATCAGCAAAGTTAAAGTCCCTAAAAAGTGCAAACTGCCCACCTCCTCCACCTCTGCCCCCAGCACCTCCACCCCATCCTGCAGGCCTTGGGCTTCAGACACAGAAATGCAGCTTCCCTTCTTCCCTGCCACCCACTTCCCAACATGGGAAGTTATAAGTAGGGGCCCAACTCATCTGCTGGGGACCCCTGTGTGCAGACGGCAACAACTGGGGCTGCCTGTAGGACACAGAGCACCGCTCAGCCCCCACTCTTCCTGAGTAGGAAAACCCTGTAAATCAGTTAACCACCTTTCCTCCATCGACCTCCTTATGCCAAAGCACCAGTGTGGATTAATCCAGTGAACACATAATCCAAACGCCTATTCTGTCTTTCCCACAGAGGAATTTTAAGTGGGGTTTGGAGTGGCTATGACTTGTCTGTTGGGTTCAAATTGGCACTAATGAACATTTGCCTTTCTTCAATTGACTTAAGGTAGCCAGAGGTAACCTGAGAGGCAGGAGGTGCCTTGGGTTTTACTGAGTCCCCACGCCACCTTGTGGTCAAGGCAGGAAATAGCATTTTCAGGTTTGTGCACCTGAGCCCCAGGACCAAGCCTTTGCAGCCCCTCCGTCCAGTCCCTTCAGGTTTAGCAATCCCAGCTCTACTTAGCCTGGACCAGAAAGAAATGCCTCTTTGACCCCGCCTCTTCTGACACCCCAGCCCCACTTTCTAGCCTCCCCATTCCGTGTGCCTGGTCCCTGACCCTCTCCCAGCCTTATCCCTGCTCCATCCCCAGGTTGGTCCGGGAGGTGACGGGGGTGAACGTGAACATGCGTGTGGGAATTCACAGCGGGCGAGTACACTGCGGTGTCCTTGGTCTCAGGAAGTGGCAATTCGACGTCTGGTCTAACGACGTCACGCTGGCCAACCACATGGAGGCCGGGGGCAAGGCGGGGTGAGTAGGGGCCCAGACTCCACTTCTGGCTCAGGCCCACCTGGGAGGGATGTGGGGCTGGGTGGTGGATGGGCAGCACACCGTGGGTGGCAGAGTTGAAGTAGAAATTCCTCCTGTCAAATCGTGCATACTGCACCATGGGCTGTTGAGTTACAGGGGCCATTGTCTTAGCCACCTTCCTCCAGGTGTTACACAAAGCACGATGACCTGTGAGATGGGAGAACAGAGTTCTAGAGGGGGGCGGTAATTCCCAGGGTGGCCAGGACACTGGAGGGGAATCATGAGCAGGCCCTGCCTCGGAAGGGTAGGGAGAGCCTCTGGCTGAGGGAGGGCACGCAGGAGGGGCACAGTGTGGGGGAACGCAGTATTCTCAAGGGCTGGCTGTAAGGGACAGAGAGAGGATGTGCCTGTGTTACGTGGGGCTCACGCACTGGGCCAGGGTGGCACTCAGACCTGTAGTCAGCAGGAGCCCCTGGCTGCTGAGCAGAGTGCGAGGTCTGTGTGGCCCGAGGCGAGTTCCGGGCAGTCTGACCTGACAGCCCTGCTAAGGAGGTGGGGCGACAGATGGAAACAGCCAGCAAATGGCAGTGCAAGCTTATGGTGCACACCTGAGCCCCAGTTTGGAGCCCTGGGTTTCAGTCACGATCAAGGGGCTCTGCAGTTTGGTTTTGCTGGGGGAGCTGGAGTTCTGAGTTTGCATTTTTGCCCCCACCTGTAGACGCATTCACATCACCAAGGCCACACTCAACTACCTGAATGGGGACTACGAGGTGGAGCCAGGCTGTGGGGGCGAGCGCAACGCCTACCTCAAGGAGCACAGCATTGAGACCTTCCTCATTCTGCGCTGCACCCAGAAGCGGGTCTGTGAGCCAGGGCTGGGGCCGGGGCTTCCCTTCCTTCCCAGGGGAGGGACGTTTTCCTGGCCTGCTGCTTTCTACTCTTCTCCCTCTTCCCTCGAGCAAAGTTATGAGTTCCTCGTGCTTCCTGCATCTTGGAAAGGACCTCTGAGTGAGAGGCCTTGCAAAGGCTGGTGGCAGATGGGAAACATCTTCATTCTGCTTCGTCACACAAATGCAGGAGGCCTCAAACCAGTTAGCAACAATGCTCAGAAGGCCATAGGCCAGAGGTGCAGCCTAAGAAATCTGTGTGCACAGTGTGCTTCACCTTCGCCTCTCCCCTTTTCTTCTGCCTCCTACGAGGTCAATTTCACCCTTGCTCTCCCCTTTCCCTCTTCCCCCTCTGTCACATCATCAGTGTCTGTCCCAGCCTGTATCTATATAACTTTATTTCTTGAACCTCTGCCTTTCTCCCTTTTCACTTTCTAGCTTCTTTCTTCTTCCTCTTTTGTCTCAGCCCACACTTGCCAAAGTATAAAACTGAATTATTAGCAGACTTCAGTGTTCTATTTTTAATAGTGTCATGTTCCATGTTCTTAAATTTTAAAGCCAAAGAAGATAACACTTTATATTCCTCCCTAAATTAAACTGTCTTTTACTTCTGAGTCTTTCCCTTGAATTTGTCGGTCAACGCCCTTTGATAGAGAAAAGCTTCCTGTTTCTTTTCCTAAGGAGTTAGACTGAAGAGAACATGGTTTCCAGGAAGAGGCAGGGCAGTCAGGGCAGGTGTCCACCTGAGGGACATCTGAGGGGACTTGGTCCTGTGCCTCCAAGGGAGGGGTCCTGGCTGCAGCAGCCCTGCAGGGAGCACATCAGATTCTCCACAGACAGAAGGAGCGTGACCAGAGTTAGGGCACTTTGGAGATGGGTCTGCATGGCTCAACTGTATCAGTTAACATTGGCAAACATTTGCCGATTCTTTGGCCAGAATGTGAATGGACTGAAATCCTCCTGGGCTCTTCCCCACCTTGCTTCTCTTGTCCCTGGTTTGCAGGGCCTCCAGCCCAGCTTCCTGACGCCTGCCCGTTCCTTAGGGCTTGGTTCCCCAATTGACAGGTGGTCTAGAAAGGATGAACTAGAGAGACAGAGTGACACCCCTCCCAGACAGTGTCAGTAGAAGCAGGCAGAGTGTACCCCAGCCCCACATCTGATGGATCTGACGAGGGAGTTGAGCCAAAGGCTGCCTGACTCTCCATGTCTGGTGCCCATTTGGATGGAAAGATAGATGTGCAGGGAGGCAGCAGACGCTTGGACAGGGTCGGCCTCTGGCTAATTCTCCACTTGTGTCTTTGGACAGTCGGGTCAGCCCTGAAGTTTCATGATACCCAGGCCCTGTCCTACTACCCAGGCCCTGTCCTACTGCCCTTCTGCTAAATATGGCTGTTGTAAAGGAGCAGAATGGAGATCAGAACCTTGGGCCCCTCTCCCTCCATTCTGGGCATCTGGGCTCTGCCCGGTCCTGAGGCTGTGTTGGGGCCCTGCACTGAGCTCCTGTTCCATCAAGCTGTGATGCCACTGCGTGCCAGTAACCACGGAAGGAGGCTGTGTGCACTGGCCAGGCTGCCTGGGGGACCCGAGGTGAGGCCCAGCTCCTGCCTCCACCTCAGAGTCCTCACCCCAGGAGGGGAGGAGAGGAACCTCATTGAGGGCTGCTGTAGCTCAGGTCTTTGGAATTAGGTCGTCCTGGGGAGGAAGAGGTGATCCCGGCTTTGAAGCTGCCAGGGTACACTCCTGTGACCGAACTTGTGAGAATGCCTTGCCAAGCAAATGTGTTCTCATCATCTGCTGTCTCCCTCGGTCCAGCCAGGGCTACTGGCTTGTGAGAGTGTAAGGTTTTTGGCAGACCCTCACTCCAGGGCTGTGCAGAGGCAAAGGCCTTAACCCCTCCCTGGCCAGGGGGATGGGAGCAGCTCCCTTCCTGGGCTCTTCCTCGGCCCTGCCTGCAGGCTGATGTGTCTGTGTCACTCTCCAGAAAGAAGAGAAGGCCATGATCGCCAAGATGAACCGCCAGAGAACCAACTCCATTGGGCACAACCCGCCCCACTGGGGGGCCGAGCGCCCCTTCTACAACCACCTAGGCGGCAACCAGGTGTCCAAGGAGATGAAGCGGATGGTGAGTGGTTGGCAGACGCTGTGATGCGACAGGTCCAAGGGACAGGATCTTCCTGGGCGCGAGAGATGGCCGAGCCCCGCAAGTTGCCTGAGAGAAGCTGGAGGGCCATGGAAAGAAGCAGAAGTGGGGTCAATCCCACTTGGGAGCAGGAGCAAGCGCACCTGATGCTGGCCTGCCATCTCGTGGCTTGCTGAATTTGGCCTGGTAACGGAGTGGCAATGCCTTTCCTCCTTCCCCCCAGCGCTGCTTACAGACACAGGCTGGGAGTGGGCTCTTCTGACCAGATGTGGGGCTCACCAGACCCTCTGGCTGCCTCTGGGCACCATCTGGTGAGGCTGGGGAGGGAGGTACCAGCTTACCAGATCCCTGTCCAGTATTTCCCAGGACACCAAAACACTTCTTTGGGTGCTGTTGCTCAGAAGCCATCCTGGGGCTTTCTAGCAAGTGCCAGGTGGTCCCCCTTTGCCTTCTGTGCCGAGAAACACCCCAGTTCCTGCCAACTCTAGGCTTCCGGGGGGAGTGTACAGGCCACCTATGGCTGTCACCTCCACCTCCAGGCACCTGGATGCCCCAGCCATCCCTGTGTACTCCAGGACAGGCGAATGCAGAACACACTGCTGGGCTCGTGCAACCCTGATGGAAACATGGATTCTGGTGGTGGGGGAAGAAAGGGATGACAGCAAGCCAGGCCGCGGCAGCACTGTGTCTCTTTTGAGAGCTTGACCAATGTCTTGGGCACCCTGCTCATCTCAAGGGCATGTGTTCCCAGAGGCAGTCACCTGCGCTGGGGAGGGCTGAGGAGGACAGTGCCGGGAACATGTGTGGCGACTTCGTGTGGTGGCTGTGGGTCCCACCAGGCTTAGGTGGGGCAAACGGGTGAGAAACAGACCCCATGGCAGTCCTGCAGATGACAGCCGGTGGCCTAGAGGAGGGGCAGGCTGGGCACCCAGGCACTCACGCTGCTGGCCAGTGAGCAGCAGCTGACACGGGATGATGGACAGGCTCCTCGGGACATCGGTATGAGGAGGGAGCAGATGGGAGAGGCCAGGACTTGCCCTGGGGCTTGGAACTTGGGCATCCACACACCTGGTCATTGCTGCCACGGCTTCAGCCACCACTTCCCCTCCCCAAGGTCCTCGGCTTCAAGGACAGCTGCTCCTCACTTTCATCCCAGTGCTTGAATAATCTGTGGACTCCAATCCCCACACCAGGGGTGGTCAGGAGGAGAGAGTGGAGCAAGGGAAAGAGGGAGGGTTTGGGGAGCTGGAGACATGCAGCGGGGAAGAGAGGGAGGAGAAGGGAGCAGCCAGCAAGCAGGCAAGGGCCCTGGAGGTCACAAGTCACGCACTCTGTTTAAAGTCCCCAGGAGGTTAATTGTTAGTGACATTGGGCACACACTGCATCTTAAGTCACCCTGGAATCTGAATGAAAGCATCGGGGCCGAGCACTGCTTTGTCAGGTGCATCATGGTCGTCGGATGGAGGACCTGGAAAGGGCCCAGCAGCGAGGGCTGTAACTGGGAAGGGAAGGCGCCTCTGCATGTGGGTCACTAATCCCAGAACGAAAACGGGGTCCTGACAGCTGCCGCAGTGGCCTGGGGCAGAAGGGACATGGTGACCCCTGATGGGCCACTCCAGTCTGGCTGGGGTCTAGGCTGAGGATGGAGGTAGCTGCATTAGTCAGCTTTCTGTGGCTGTGACAACACCTGAGGAGTAGAGGTTTGCTTGGCTCTGGTCTCAGAGGTGTCAGTCCTCGGGTGGTGGCCCCATGACGTCTAAGCCGGACGTAGGGTTGGAGAGGGAGAAGGAGCTGCGGCCCTGCGCATCCAGCCTTCGCTGCCTGCAGAGGTGGGGAGCTGCCCACTGCTCTGGGAGCCTGTGCTCAGCAGGGCTCTCTGTCAAACACTCCCCTCTCCCCTTCTCTTTCAGGGCTTTGAAGACCCCAAAGACAAGTGAGTACTGTGCCCTTTATTCCTGCCCCTGAAGACTGGGAGGAGAGCCCTGAATCTGCCTCACCACTTAGTGTTCCACACCCCACCAAACGCAGGCCACAGGCAGGCTGAGTGAGAGTGAAAGGAGCCCAGCAAGGCGACAGGTGGCCAGTGGCAGCCCCGGACTGGCCAGGGCACCGGGGACCCCAGCCGACCCAGCACTGCCCATCTCGTCTCTACCACATGCACCACACGCACACATATGCACACCCCCTCAGGAATGTGGGCCTTGCATGCAGGTCGGCATGGGCCCACCACGACCCTGCCCTCCTCCTTGTCCTTGCTGTCCTTGTCCCAGGGCTGGCAGAAATTTCACTCAAGGTCCCAGTTCCACCCAGGAAATTGGGTTTCCAAGTTAAGCACCTGAGGAACACAAAGTCTGCTTCCCCCAAAAGCCCAAGGGGGACCAGGTGTGGCGGTGGGAGCCCTGCCTTTCCATCTTGCCCTCCGGATCAAGCTGGCACGGCTGGACAGACACTGACCTGCAGGGGAAACCAAGAAACTGCCAGCAGTCTTTCACTGTATCCTTACAGTCTAATGAGTCACAATGCCAGCCTGAGATGTGGGCTGTTTTCTCCATGTGTGTGGTGGTTAAGAGCAGGGACTTGAGCTGGGCATGGTGGCACACACCGGTAATGCCAGCACTCTGGGGAGGCTGAGGCAAGATCTCAAGTTTAAGCCCAGCCTGGGTAGTCTTGTGACACTATCTCAAAGTAAAAAGAAATAGCTAGAGTGAGGGCCCTGGACGCAATCCGCAGGACCACAGGGGGGAAAAAAGAGATGCTGGCTGGGGGCTTCTGGTCTGATCTGCTCGGTCCCAGTCCCTACTTCCCCATCCTGGCCAGGGTTGATGGGTGGCTGCTAGGCCTCTTGTCCTGGGTGATCAGCACCCCTAAATGTGTGCCCCCCATTCCACAGGAATGCCCAGGAGAGTGTGAACCCTGAGGATGAAGTGGACGAGTTCCTGGGCCGGGCCATTGATGCCAGGAGCATCGACCGGCTGCGGTCCGAGCATGTCCGCAAGTTCCTCCTGACCTTCCGGGAGCCTGACTTAGAGAAGAAGGTATGCGAGGGTGGGGCACAGGCAACGGGGAGGCACCTCTGCTCTCCTCAGTGCCCCGGAGACGGAGGTCTTAGGGAGACTTCCTCGGTTAGCAGGGATAAACCTTGGTCTCGCTGCCCTTGGTTTCCTGTGTAGAAAACAGGGCCATTTAACACACCCACCTGGGGAGCAGAGTGAGGGTTAAATGAGCTCCCTTTGTGTAAGATGTGAAAAGGTGTCCACCATGCAGAGGGTGTCAGTAAAGTCTGATCGCTGTGGCTGTTGTTACTGCTATTACCCTTGCTGCTGGGGCACACGGCGCCTTGGTGTTAGAGTTGGGAGGGGCAGGTAAGATCTGTCGCTGCCCTCTTTCTGCAGTTCTAGTGAGTGGGGAGCGTAAGCTCTGTGACAGTGGGAGATTGGCACTGGGCCACCCAAGGAGTGGTGACAGAGCTGGCGCCAGCCCTGGTGGCGCCCTTGCACCGTGTCGCAGTTCTCCAGCGCTCGGTTCGGGTGGGCTCAGTGATGCCTGTGGGCATGGAGCAGGGCTCGGCCCAGTTAGCGGGGCAGATGGTTAAAGGGGAGTAAGAGGACCTGACCAAGTGCGCCTGCGCTGGAGGACCGCATGGGCCCCAACCCCCAGGAGAGGCGGCTTGGCGGTGTGGGAGGAGCTGGGGCTGGCAGTAAGCACATGGTGGCCCTCTCTGTGTCCACCTGCTCATCTCAAGAAGCAGAAATAACGCAACCCTGTGCCTGCTTCTGGAGTCGTGAAGATGCTGGGGTGGGTGTTGATGGTACAGTGGGGTCGTTATGAGTTGCCCTGACCACAGCATACTTTCTGGTTTGACGCCAGTCCAGGCCCCTCTCTGCTACCTGCCCCATGTGCCACCTTCCAGGGATCTGGACTGGTGTCTTGGGATCTGAAGCCTGCTCTGGTTCTCGGGCTTCGGTGCTGAGTGGGTTGCTCTGGGCGAGACTGACTTCGCTAGAGCAGGCCCTCGCTCCCCTTTCCCTCACCGTGGCTTCTCCATTCAGTACTCTAAGCAGGTGGACGACCGCTTTGGTGCCTATGTGGCTTGTGCCTCGCTCGTCTTCCTGTTCATCTGCTTTGTCCAGATCACCATCGTGCCCCAGTAAGTACCCCAGCCCTCTTGGGCTCTGTCCTCTGTGTGCAGGGCTGGGCGGTCATTTAGGGAAGGAGAAGAGGCAGGTGTCCTTGGCGGGACAAGCCAGGGGTCTGGCCTGTGGGGCCGGGCAGGGAGACGTCCCTCAACCCCGTGCAGCGCTTCATCTTCTCGAGGCTTGTGGTGCGCGCCTCACTGCCCGACTGAGTCACACCGTTTCTGTGCGGCCTTTGCCTCTCCGATCAATCCGTCTTCAAAGGACAAAGGTTTTCGCTGCTGTGGGCGTTTCAAAGAACGGATTTCAGATTCTGAAGGCTTTTCACAAAGAAGCATGGCTGAACTCTACCGAGGACTGGCCGTGTTGTGGCAGAGACCACTTCGGAGTGAGCAGTGGGCTTTTGGAAATGAAGTTTAGTAAATAGTCACACCTGGAAGAGAGCATAATTGACCTGTGTATGGACATGCACGTGTGTTTACGAATGCAGATATAGGTATGTGCAGATGTCTTTACTCTTCATTGTGAAATCATCCGGGTACGCAGCATATTCAGTATAGATACAGTAGTGGTTAATGTTTTGCAATATGTGTTTTATCTTTTTTATTATTTAGGGAAATTTTAAGGACATTCTGTCCCTAAAAACCTCAATGGACATCTCTCTTCTTCATTACAATGTGCACCCAATAAAATTTAGTCGGGGATTTAGCTCAGTGGTGCTGCTGCCTGCCTTGCAAGCACTAGGTCCTGAGTTCGATCTCCATACCAAAAAAAAAAAAAATTCATATCATTTTCCTGCTATCATTTAACACCCAGTCCATGTTCAAATGTCCAGAATTGTTGCCCAAAATGTCTTCTACTCTTGGCTTTCTCAGAGCAGGCTGTGTGTGGTTCTTGAAAGTCTTGCCTAACCCTAAATATGCTCAGACCCCAAATCTTCTATTTTTCATTTCAAAATAATTGTAGACATACTGAGAAGTTGCAGAAGTAGTAAGAGTTTCTGTGTATCTTTTACCCAGTTTCCAGGGTAAACTTCCCTAATGCAGCACAGTGATCAAAGCCTGTTTTGTTGAGAGAGCTACACTGTCTGGAACCCCACACTGCATTCAGTTGTTGTATCTCCTTTGTCTCCTCCAGTCTCTGATAGTTCTTCAGGCTTTTCGGGTCTTTTGATGGCTTCTGGCCAGTTAACCTGTAGAGTGTTTCAGTGTGGGTAAGTCTGATCTGATCAGACTGGGACTGTGCGCTTTAGTGCCAGGAGGCACGCGGTGCCAGCTGCCTTACCTCTTAATGCCCTTTATGTTTATGACACGTACTGTTGAAAAGATGCCCCTCGGATTCCTGTCTGCTTCAACTGTCATGACGCCCAGGTAATAAGCAGACTGGCTGCATCCTGGCTGCATGAGACTGTGCAGAGCTGGTGGATCCTAATTGACACATTTTTCTGAATTGAAAGGATGCCTCAGGGATCAACAAGCAACCTGGCTTTGTCCTGTTGTGGCAGACAGTCCCTTAACTTGGGATGTAATCCCGCCTCTGCCACTGTTTCTTTTCTGCAGCCTGGCTTGAGGCCCAGCCATCCCAGCTCCCTGCTGTGCCTGAGGTGGCTCCATGCCCCTTTGCCACCACCACTCCATGTGGCTGCCACAAGGATAGACGTTGTTCTCTAGCTGTTCCTCTCTAGGAAGCTTTAAAGGCCCCTTTGAAAGTCTTTTTCTCTGAAGAGGATTCTTTTCTCTTGTTCCATTTGTTGAAGGCAGCTAAGTACGTGCCTCTGGAATCGGGAACAAAGATGCCATCTGAGTCTTCCCAGGGTGTCCCCTCCTGCCCCAGGCTCTGTTGGCATAGAAGCCACCAACAATACCTGGCATCTCCAGGCTGTTCTCCTCCCTTGGTGGCCAGGTGGGGCGTGCTGCCCCTTGCCAGCCCCCACCCCAGGAGAGCAAGGGGAAGTTCCAGGAGGAAAGTCTGCTGCAGCTCCTTTGTCTGAGGGTTCTGCCTCCAAAGGCAGGGCAGGGAGACCAAACTTTTCTTACTGCACTGGCTGGGAGCAGGGAGCAAAAACTGAGCAGGACTTGCAGTAGGGCCTGGTGGGGGGAAGGGGACAGAGGTCAGGGACTCCTTCTGAAATGTACATATCACCCCTGTTTCTCAGAGTGGCGAGTAGGCTGCTCACATGCACTGCTACCCATTAAGGCCCTTTGTCAGATCCATTTTCGGTCCATGAGGTTATTATGGCTTGAGGGACAATGTGGAGGGAACAACCAGGTGATTTTAAAATGGGTTTTTTTGGGCTAAATGAAGCCCTCATGTGAACAGCTGAGAATAGGGCAAAATATTGGTAGGGGTCACCTGCTTCTCCTTTCAGCTCCCTGTGGGCTATGGTTCCTCTCAGCAAGGTGACAGGAGGGTAGGAAGGCCAGAAGCGGATTGGGACTGGGCAGGGCCCAGGGGACCCTTGAGGCCCCTCCCGGGGTGGGGGGGGGAGGGAGAAAGTCGAGCAGGGGGTTTGGGAATGGAGTGGCTTCAGGTTCACTCCCAGGGCTGTCCGTGGCCCTGTCCTAGTCAGCCGGGGGGACAGACCTAGGGACCTGCAGGGGACTGCGGCTTCCCCTCCCCTCTCTTCCCCCAGCTCCATGTTCATGCTGAGTTTCTACCTGACCTGTTTCCTGCTGCTGGCCTTGGTGGTGTTTGTGTCTGTGATCTACTCCTGTGTGAAGGTGAGTCCAGCTGCCCCCAGCCCAAAAAGCACACTTGGCATAGTACTGGGCCACAGCTCTTGGCTGGCATTGGCAACCTCATTTGACCCTGGGAATCTTTGCAAGAAGTTTCTGTTTCGTTGCTTTTGTACAAGCCCTCAGCGTCAGGTGGGATGATGGGAAGGCACCCAGCACAGAGCTTAGCACAGAGCAGCAGCTGGGAAGCGTTTGCTGAAGGAAGGAGTGTGGGAGAGACCTTTGCTTCCCAGGTGCCCTGGAATTTGTCCTGCAGGGGCTCCTGAGACCAGGAAAAGGGTGTGGGTGGTGTCATGCTGATGAGCAGTGCATCCCCAGATGGTTCAGAACTTCAAATGCGCCCCACAGTTGGCTCAGGTTGGCAGAACGTGTTCAGGGCCAGCAGTTTGGTTTCTGTTCTAGGTTTTCTTCCCACAGCACCTCTTGGGTGTGCTGTGTCCCCTGTCTGGGCTGTGTCCTTGGGTGGGACTTGACTGTAGGCCATTGTGGTCTACTGTAGAAATCACTCAGGTTCCCATTGGCCCTGCTTACTGAGGCCTTCTCTTGTTCCTTCACCAGGGGCTGAGGGTTCCTTAGCAGCGTCAGCCTGGCCCCAGAAAGCTCTCTGGCTCTGCAGGAGAAATGTGCTCTCCAGCTTCTGCAGAGCCTCCTCTCTCCTCCCAGCACTCATTCAGAGCTGGTCCTTGCTGCCTTCTTCCTGCCCAGCCTCTGATTAACCACGTTCTGGAAAGCAGAACCCAACCGGAAGTTGTTTGTAATACAAAGTCCTTTTCTGTGTAATTTCTCTTCCTCTTTCATGTTGTGGGTTAAATTTTTTTCACATTAAGATGTGAGTAGGGGGAGTCTGCCTTGGTCACGAATGCAGCAGGGATATTAATTAACACACCCTCTTTCTGGGTGCAGGCCTGGCCTGTCACTGAGCTCTGTCCCACACTCCTTGCCTGTCGATGGACTCTAGCTTGCTGTTTCACCTCGTCAGGTGCTGACATGAGGCTGACTGCTGCAGTTTTCAGTTTCCCTTTGGAAAGTGTTACCCTTTACCAGAACTCTGGAATTTTCCATCTTATTTCCACTGTTGCAGAGAAGCCACAGTGTTCTGATGAAGTACGAAGATTCCTCAGCTACTCCAATGTGGGCTCTGCTCTTCCAAAGCCAGATGGTTTTCAGGCAGTTTCTTTCTCTTGTTTCCTTTCTTCTCCCTTTGTGCCAACAGCTTGGGCTCACTTCCTTCAGCTGGGCTTACTTCCTTCAATATCTTAACCTTTTCACAGATGTGTGAGCACAGTGTGGACTTCCCTGTGCCAGGGAGCAGTTCCCCATCCTCTCTATGGGGCTTTCCCTTCTCCTTTTCAAGTGCCCTTTCCATCTTGGGCCCCCAGAACCCTTTCCTGACCTAGCTCCATGCAGTTTACATGCACACCTAGGTTTCTTGGGGAGGGTAATTCGTTGCCTAGGTCTTTGTCTTGTCCCCAAGTCTGGTCTCACTTCTTAGAGCATCAGCTACCTTCAGAGCCCTGTTGTCCCTAGGCTGCCTTGACAGCAGGTTGTCCTCTGAGTCCTTCCTTTTGCTGGTGCCATCTTAGAGGTGAGCAGAATCTGCACCAGCTCCTGCCTTCCCTTGGCATCTGTGCTCCCCAGGCCCTGCAACCACTTTTCTTGGAGAAAACCATGTTAAATCCTCTTCACCTCACGTGCAGTCCACAGATTCAGAGAATATCAGAACAGAAGCTGAGCCATCCACCTGAAGCTAGAATCCTTATTTTAACCCTGTGGAGGGCAAGCCAGCCTGTGCTTGGTCAGCTCCAGGGACAGTGAGCTTGCCTACATCTGCTCCCTCAGCCTCCCTGTCTGCCCATCATCCTGGGGAGTGACCAAGCCTGCCCCTTGCCTGTGGGCAGAAGCGAGTGGCCTTTCTTCACTGAACCAGACTTTTGCTCTGCCTGTAGCTTCTCAGCACTCCTGCACAGCACAGCCTCTTTGTAGGGGCTGCTGTGAGCAGCTAGACAGCCTGTGTGTTTAAATCCCTTCGTCCTCCAGGCTACCTCCTGATCGCTTTTGGTCTGTGCTACTGACTGTGCCACTAGGACTAGTGACCAGAGCCTACCCTGTTCTGTGCAGTCACCGGAAGTGCTTCCTCCCCTCTTCCCACATCTGAATATAGCCAGGTCCACTTTGTTGACTCTCCTGTCCACCTCTCTGCCAGGTTCCTGTGCAGTTTCTAGATGAAGGCCTCACTGCCCAGCCAGCATTCCTCGCCTCCTTTGCGCCTGCCTGGCATGGTACCTGCAATCTTGATTATCACACTTGCCTTTCCTAGGATACTCAGGGGCAAGTGGTATTTCTTAGGGAAAGAATATGCTGTTGCCGTGCAAGTCTTAACCAGCTTGGAACCCTTTGTCTGGGAGATGTCACAGGCTCCTCCTTATCTTTGGAGTTAGTTCTGAGTGCAGATCCCATATAAGCCACTTAGAGCTGTGTCCTGAGCCTCGAGTCTAGGGTGACTTACTAGAGCCACTGTGCGGATGAGGAAACTGGCACTCAGAGAGGCAAGGCAGCTTTCCCTAGGGCCTGAGGTAGGAAGGAATTTAGGCCCACGTGTCTGAGAATGTACCTTAGTAGTAGAGCACTTGCCTGGCATGTGTGGGAGCCTGGATTCAATCCCCAGCACCACACACACACACACACACACACACACACACACACACACACGCGCGCGCGCGCGCACGCGCGCACGCACATGCGCACACAAAAGGTTAAACTCAGGCGGTTCTAAACTTCAGAGCCCGTGACTTTTATCCTTCAGGACCCTGGCTTTGTTAATATGTCCAGTTGACTTCTGAAAGCCTAGGTGATAAGAATAGTGCTGCATAGTCCTTTTGCCTGCCTCATTTGGCTTCTGAGGTTTTTATATTTTTATTTTTTCCTCCTGAAATAGGAGCTACTGCTTTTGTTAACTCCTTGTCAAAGGAGTTTTCTTAAATGCTTTTGTCATCCAACTTCATCACCATCTTTCATCCTTGAAGTCCCCTGGTCCTGTCTCCCAGACAGGAGCCAGAGAGACCAACTTGTTGCCTGGAGACATACAGAGAAGCCAGGATCTGAACTGTCCCTTACCTCATCGTGGCTTATTAATTATGAACCCACTCCCATGTGTGAAGGTGAATGCATCTGAATTAACCATTCAGGAATGTACTACTTCAGAACTTTTTTTAAAAACTTGATTCTTTTTCTAAGCTCTGATTGTGAGCAGACATTAAGTGACTGCTGAACAGTGCGGTCTAGGGTCTGACTGCAGCTGTGGTGAGCCCTGTAAGGAGACTGCCCCAGGAGTGAGTTTTCAGATCCAGACTGGGGTCAGCAGGGTTGGGATTTGGGCACACAGATGAACTTCGTGACTACAGGAGTTGAGAGCTCTGTAAACCAGTTCCAGGGCAGGATGTCCAATCTCCTCTGGGACTCCTAATTCGGGGTTTAGAAGGCAAGGGGAAGCCTTTGAAAGATACTAAGGCAAGCCAAGGCACAAAAATGACCCAGCCCAGCATCAGGTGCTAGAGCACCATCTAACGTCCATTTCTTAGCCTGTATTCTTCTCCCGGCAACTAGGTGGCCCCGCATTCACCAGGAAGCCTGTGTAGGTCACTTTCCCAGCCTCCTTTGATTGAGAGACTAACCTTCACGTAGGGCAGCCATCACCTTGGTGGTTATAAACATGAAGGAAGTCCTTCAGTCGGTAGGTGGGGGGCTGAGAACTAAAACCGAAGTTAGAGCAACAGGGGGAGGAGGGGATGGCATGGTAAATTTAAACAGCCAAAGGTGGTAAACCATCTGCCATTCCACATTATTTCTGAGTGAGGTCCTCAGCTCCTGCCCAGACACTTTCTCCATCTAGGGAACACAAGATTCCCTGCATGGGAAACAAGGACTTGCATTTGTATTGGCGGCATAGCTTTTTAAAATGCAGATATTAGGGCCAGACACAGTGGAGGCCCTGAGTTTAGTCACCAGTGCCACGGAAGAAATAGAGAAATATTAATGAACTTTTTAATTGCATTCAGCAGCTTACAAAGCACCTTTAAATGAACCATTTCACTGAGTCTTCATAGCCACTCAAGGAGATAGATATTCCCTATTTACTAATAAGGAAACTGAAACTAAGAGAAGTTAATAATGTCCCAGGATCACACAACTAGTACGAGGCTGAACTTGTAATTTGCTAGCGTTTCATGTATTCACAAAATTGTATAACTATTGCCACCATCCAATTCCAGAGCATTGTCCCCCAGAAGAAACCTCCAGGTTCATTAGCGGCCCCTGACAACCACGAATCTGCTTTCTGCCTAAGACTCCCATGTTCTCGATGTCCCTCTAAGTGGAAGCCTACCGTGTGTGGGCTTTGGGGCTGGCTCTTTCTCTTTGCCAGGTAGCTTCAAGGTCTGTCCACACTGTGGCGTGCTGCATCGCTCCCTTCCTTTGGGACTCAGTGATTCCCCATCACGTGGCTGTGTCGTGTTTCGTTGATCCCTTTCTCAACTGATAGATATCTGAGTAGTCCTGCTTTCAGGTTATTAGGAATAACGCTGCTGTGAAATCGGGTATGCAGATACCCGTACAAGTCCCTGCTTTCGGTTATTTTGGATATATACTCAGAAGTAGACTTGCTGGATCTTGTCAACATCTATTTTATATAAAAACTCTGTTTCAGCCGGGGAGCTAGCTCAGTGGTTCCGGCACCTGCTTTGCAAGCACAGGGACCCAAGTTCCATTCCAGGTACCAATAAATAAATAAATAAATAGATAGATAGATAGATAGATAGATAGGACTCTTCCACAGGAGCCACTGTTTCACACTCCTAGCAGCAGTGCACAAGGGTTTCATCTTCTCCATATCATCATTACTTCTTCCTGTTCTTCATAGTCCTATTTATTGCACAAAAATTTTAAAATTTTGATGAAGTCCAATTTATTTTTCTCATTTTTGCCTGTGCTTCTGATGACAACTCTAAGAAATCATGGCCTACTCCAAGGTCATAGAGTTCTGCTTATATGTCTTCTTTTAAAGGCTTTGTAGTTTTAAAACTGGCATCTAGGTCTCTGATCTGAGACCCAACTCCACTCTTTTGCAAGTGGATATCCATTTGTCCTGGCCACATTTATTGAAAACTTCTTTGTTGATTGTCTTGGCAGCCTTATCAAAATCAAATGGTCTTCAGTGTAAGTGTTCATTTCTGGACTCAGGCTATTCAGTTTATTTCTATCTCTTAGGCGGGATTTTAGCCCGTTTAGGCTCTACAAATCTCATAGCTATCTTTCTTTCTGCCATAGAAGAGGGCTCAGTGAGAGTGCCTCCTTTATCACCCCAGAGGGAACTGCTACACTGGGGGCTAAGGTCTTCTTTTATAACCTTGTCTGGCTGCCAGGCCTCTGCCGGGGTTGCAGCCCTTCCTGTGGCCCATCCTTGCCTGTAGTCCCCTCTCTCCCTCTGCTGCATAGGAAGTGGCTGTGATAGAAAGGTAGGGAGGATTCTGAGGTGGGGAAGTTATATACTGCTTCTCTACACACACCGAAAAACCAAGGGTGAGCAGGACCTATCCTTGCTGTCAGAAACTGGGAAGGGTCTGAAATTTGATTTTATTCTACTGACAGTCTAAAGAGTTAGCTTGTTACATTTCATAGATGCTGGCAGAAGACCTGAGACTCCTGGATCAGAGACAAAAACTTAAAAGCCAGATACAGTAGTGCAGGCCTGTAATCTCTGTACCCTGGGTGGCTGAAGAAAGAGGATTATGAGTTTGAGCCCATCCTGAGCAGCTTAGTAAGTTAATGAGACCCTATCTCAAAATGAAAATAAATAATTCAAAAAGGACTGGAAGGTCACTCAATACTCGATCCCAAGTACCCCACACACTGAATAATGACAACATTTATTACTCAGGGCACTCAGCCAGCAGCATGGGCACCAACGTACTTGTATTGGTTCTCTTTGCCCTTGTATTAGTCACTTTCCTGTCACTGGAACAAAATACCTGACACCCACAACTTTATTTTGGCTCATGGTTTTAGGGGTTCAGTCTGTGGCCATCTGGCTCCAGGGCAGAAATGGCATGGCACGGTGAAAGCATGTGGAGGAGGAAAGCTGCTCAGCCCGTGGCGACCTGGAAGTAGAGAGAGAAGGGAGGAGGCAGGGACAAGTATATGCCCTTCCAGCAACCCCCTCTTCCGATGTGGCCCCGCTTCTGAACACAGAAAGCTTGAGGAAGGCCTGTCAGGTCGAAGCCATAATACCCTCCAAAGTCCCATGGGGACAGCATGATGGTCTTCGTGGATGCTGTGGGGTAGTAGTGTTGGCTTGTGGCCCAGGAACTTCTTGAGCTGACAGCAAACACCGTAGTGCACAGCTAGTCCCCTCCCCGCAGGAGTGAGCAGCCATGAGGCCAGGCTGCGGTCCCTTGACCTACTTTGTGGTCTCTGTGACCCAACTGCAGAAACTCAGCATCAGGGGAGGGTAGGCCTTGTGGTCTGTGACACTTAGCAAGATTATGCAGGGCGGCCTGGGGCCCATGACTGGAAGAGGCCTTTGCCGGTTTCACTGACCATGAAAGCGAAGGGTGCTCCTACAGATGAGAACCTTCAGAGCAGATATGGCCTGCTCCCAGGCACATAGGAAGAGGCAAGCCTAGAACACAGGCTTCCTGTCTCCTGCTCCCATGCCTTCTCCACCATCCTCTGGGACACTGGGAAGTGTGCAGCACACAGGACTCTGCACAAGGGCAGGGCAGGTGGGGTGGAGGGGCCCATGTGCCCTGCTTGATTCTCTGTCCCTCCTCTTTGTTAGCCTGCACTGCATGGGAGATGAGGAGGACCTAGGTACAAGGCCAGTTGTATAGATTGGGTGGTGGAAGTGGCCCTTAGGAAGTGGGTGTTAAATTACCCAAACCACAGCCGGTCTTCGAGAGGACACACGGGTGAAGAGCACGGAGCAGGGCTAGGCAAGGGAAACTGTAGCCCTAGAGCTTTGCACAGTGCCTGTATCCAGGCCTCACTTCCTCCTGCTGCTGCTCTGCTCCTTTACAAACATAGTCTCTCCCTCCAGACACTAGTCCTTCCCAGGTCCCCTCCTTCCAGGAAGCCTCTGATCCTCCCCAGGAACCTCCATGGCTCCCCAGCTGCCCAACTGCTCTCCCTGACAGTACGCCAGGCTCCGGACTCACGCAGTGTGTGAATGGACTCAGCCAGCCTCTTCCCTGTCCCTCACCCTGGGGGCACAGAGCACCCCTCCTGGCTGGCCGCAGTCAGGCTGCTATGGGCCTGGAGCCTTGTGGGCCTGGAAGGGTTTAGAGAGGCCCAATGGGTGATGCTGGGGACACTGTGTAGCCTCAGCAGATGCGGTCATCTCTCCCCCAGCTCTTCCCCAGCCCCCTGCAGACCCTCTCCAGGAAGATCGTGCGGTCCAAGATGAACAGCACTCTGGTCGGGGTGTTCACCATTACCTTGGTGTTCTTGTCATCTTTTGTCAACATGGTAGGTGACTCTGCTCCCAGTACCTCTGTGCCCCGCAGGTGGCGGGTAGAGGAGGATTCCCTGGAAACTGCTGTGTGTGCCTCACCTCAGGGTATCTGATCTGATGCGGGCTCCCAACTCTCCAGGCCAGAAAGCTCCAAAGAGGACTGGGGTGTCCCTGAGGCAGGCCTAACAGGCCTCCTGTCCCAGGAGGGCACACGGGACACAGCCCCTCCAGTCAGGGCACTGGCAAACCATGCTGGGTCTGCAGCCTCTGCCAGGCTCCTCCTTTGTCCCCGGTCCGTGTGGCTCTACCTGAAACGGGGACGGACGGGCACCTGATGCCCCAGCCTGGCCCCTGGGCTGACCCAGTCTTGCTGCCCTCTTGCCTGTCCCAGTTCACCTGCAATGCCAAGGACCTGGTGGGCTGCCTGGCGGAGGAGCACAATGTCAGTGCCAGCCAGGTCAACGCGTGCCATGTGGCAGAGTCGGCCTTCAACTACAGCCTGGGCGACGAGCAGGGCTTCTGTGGCAGCCTCTGGCCCAACTGCAATTTCCCCGAGGTATGTCCTGCCTTTCCCCACTCTTCCTGGCACCTTTGTCAGTGCCAACACCCACCACGCAGCCTCAGTGTCACAGCCCCTGACACTGACGTGGCTCTTGTTAAGACAGAGCTCAGCAGAGTCTCATGAGAGCCCTGTGACATGTGTACTGCTCCAACCATGCGTAGAGATGAAGAACCCGATGGACAGAGACTAAGTCACTTGCACAAGGTCCCAAAGCCAGTGAGCTGCAGAGCCAGAGCCCTCATTCAAGTCATCTGGCTCAAGTTCATGCTTCTACCCTGAGAGCAAAATGTTTAGGACCCTCTGTCTGCAACAGACCCGACCCTGCTCAGGAGAGCCCCCCACAAACCCCACCTGTTAGGGTCAGCAAGCCTGAAGGAGCAAAGGGAAGCCAGTCCCAGGCCATGACTACTGTAAACTTCTTGTTCAAAGTGTACAACACAGTTTTAGTGAGTTCACAGGTTTGCACAGACATCCTCTTCAGAGCACTTTCACCACCTCAAAAAAGACATTTTATACCCGCAGGCATCTGAGGAGAACCCTTACTGAGAGCGTGGTGTGCCTTCGCAGCTGGGAGCACCCTGCAGGGCAGGGCATCCAGCCTGCGACAGCTCCAAGTGGGGGCTGCTCCCATGCCCCAGCTCCCTGTAGGGGCTCATGTGAACCCCCAAAGCTGAAGGCCATGTTGTCCTGTTCTGGGGGTTGTTTCTGCCCTCTTCTAGGTGCCCCTGCACTGTCTCAGAACACACAGCCTCCCTCCCCTGCAGGAGGGAGCAGGACCGCCAGGGAAGCCTGGTGAGGAGCAGGGTGCTGGCTCTCCCTCTCTGTGGGTTGAGTACCTGGCCACCTAGGGAGCAGCCTCTGTTTCCACCTCTGCCCCTCTCACTTCTGGCTTCTGCTTCCTCAGAGCAGATCCTGTTTGATTGCATGTCAACCCCTCAGGGGATGGGCGCCCCATGGAAGCTGGACCTGAGGGAAGAGGGCAGTGGGGTTGTCCCCTTGCTACTTGGGTGAGGTGGTTGGGCCCAGCCTGAGCCTTCCCCACCTACCCAGTTCCCGCCCTCTGCCCTGGGCTCTGAGGGCTACAGAGCTCAGTCTTCCCCACCCCACATGGGCTGACTCAGGCCTTAGGTGACCCCAGCATTAAGCCTCGGCGCCCCCCTGCCCAGGCCTAGGGCCTGAAGTGGGGTCCTCTGCTCCTCCCCCAGGCTGGGCCCTTGGGGCTGAATCATCAGGGTGCCCCACCCCGCCCCTTCCTCTGCCCCAGGTCTTGGTGGTGACTTGAGGCCCAGGACACCCTCAAGTCTATCACTTGACTCCTGAAGATCTGGGGAGACCCAACCTGGGGCTACCCCCTACTTGCTCACCCAAGGCAGAGGCAGTGTAGAAGTAGTCTGGAAGCCTGGACTCAGAAACCAAGGCTCTAAATTTCAAAGAAAGAATAGAATAAGAGGTGGTGACATGTCTAGGAGTAACTCCAGGGGACCATGGCAGGTCCCATTTCCAGGGCTTAGCTGATTCAGCCTCTCACTTGTCTAAGAAGGAAACAGGAAGCTTCCCAAGGTAGACAGTACAAGGCTTCAGTCCTGCCCAAAGCCTTTCAGGGCCAATGTCATTTTTTAAAGTTATTTATTTTTCTTAGTGTGTATTTGCCACATAATGATCCCATTCATTATAGGGAATTTGTACCTGTACATATCTTAATACTTCTTTTTTCCCCATTCCCCTCCCCTTTTACAAAAAGCTTTGTTTCCATTTTTCCCTCCATTCTTTCTTTTCCCTTCCTTCCCTTCTCTATCCTCCTCCCTTGTTCCTCCTCCAATTTGCCAATGTAGTTTAGACTGCAGAGTTTTCAGATTTTAAAAGGTAGCCTTGCACCTCCAGGAGAGGCTGGGGCCGAAGCTCATTGCAAAACACTAACATTTCTGTAGCTACGCTGTGGACAGTCAGATAAAGACTAGATAAAGACAGCTGTTAGCGTCACATCAGCTAGGACAGGTCTGTCACCAAAGCAGGTCAGTTCAGGTGCCGCTGCCTGAACTGTGAGAGCACTCAAGTTTTTAGAGCTGTGGGTTTCAGAATTGCAAATCAGGTTATGAGGGTGTTAAGCACATTGCCAGAGATTCCATCTCATGTGATGAGCACAAGAGCCCAAGGGAAGGGACTGGTGGGGCCAAGGAAATGGTCCAAGGCATGTGGCCAGTGCAGGGGGAGCAGGGATGAACTCCGCCAGCCCGAGTTGTAGGCCCACTTCAGACTGGAACCAGTCCCCGGGTTCCTAACCGGGCTCTTGGCCGCTTCATGCCTGATAACAGTGTCCCTCAGCAGAAACCTACTGAGCCACCTTCACCGAGGTCCCTCAGGCTGGGGAGAGGCGGGTTGGGTGGGGCTGACGCCTGCCCTCTCCCTGCAGTACTTCACCTACAGCGTGCTGCTCAGCCTTCTGGCCTGCTCCGTGTTCCTGCAGATCAGCTGCATCGGGAAGCTGGTGCTCATGCTGGCCATCGAGCTCATCTACGTGCTGGTCATTGAGGTGCCGGGTGTCACTCTCTTTGACAACGCTGACCTGCTGGTCACCTCCAACGCCATGTAGGTGGCACCTTCTTCACACCCCAGCTGGGTCGAGGGCATCGCAGGAGGCAGGAGGAGCAGGAGACTGGGTTCTGGCCTGTGGGGAGGATGTCAAACTCCTCCCCAGCCCTGGCAACCAGGCAAAATGCCCCAGGCTCTTGCTGTGTGGCCCTGCTCTCTCCCCCATCCTGGGGCAACTTTTCGGCTTCTGGTTTGCTCCTCACTCACCGCTGACCTTAGGCCTGTGAGTCATTTCCCCCTTGTCAGGCACAGCCTCTGCTGGGCTGTTTTCCTTTAATGCCAGCTGCCTGTGGCGGTGAAGCCCAGAGCGCTTGTGTTTCACCGGAGCCAGCAGCAAGGTCTGTGGGAGCAGAGGGACACCTTTGTTGCTTCAGGGCGGTGTCCTATCTGGACCCAGGCACTGGCCCTTGTCCTTGTGGCCACCGGCAGGCTCGCCATATGTGGTTGGGTAGTCTGTGCCCCCTCAGAGCTCCTGGTTGTGATGGCAGAGGTCGCGTCCTATCCCCTGGAGGTGGGGAGTGTGAGTGCTGTGCCCCAGGTTGTCGGCCCCACAGTCAGTCCTGCTTGCCGATAGATGTCAGAGTTTAGTGGTCAGTTCCTGCCTCACTTCAGGCATTTGGTTAGTCTCCTGAACCTCAATATTTTTTCCTAAAAACTGGGAATAATACCCATAGTAGCAAATGTATATAAGGTGCCTGCTCTGAGGAACTTTTTCCTCCACCGCCTCTCCTACACACGCACACAAACACACACGTGCATACACACGCGTGTGTGCTCGCACATGACAGAAGTGCAAAACGAGCACACGTGTTTGCACCCCCCCATTTGCTCAGAACGCACGTGGTCAGCACCCCTTATCCAGGCCCGTGGTGCAGGCCCTGAGATGGACAGGAACGGATGAGCCAGGAGACTGCTCCTTGTGAGGGGAGTGGGCTGCGGCGGAGAATCTAAATTGGACTCAAGCAGGAACTTCCAGTGGCTGCGTGGGGCTGTGGGCAGATGACAGGAAGACACTGTGACACCAAGAAGGGTCCCTGGGCTGGTGGGAACAGTGGGGGCTGCAGAGCTGGATGGAGGAGGAGGAGCAGGGAGAGGAGGTCTGGACCCTTGTTACCCACAGATCTAGGATCTTGGCCTCTTCCTCTTTCCTGCTCCTCTCTCAGCCCAGCCTCTCTTCTTCTGGAGAATAGAGGCCATTTCTGTGTCAGTAGATAAAGCCACAAGGAAATCTCAGATTTTCAGGTAGCTGGATTAAAAAGGGCTGGGATTTAGCTCAGTGGTGCCGCCACCTGCCTTGCCAGTACAAGGTCCTGAGTTCGATTCCTGGTACCCTCCCCAAAAAGGCAATAGTGCAATTAATTTTAATAGCACTGTTGTTGTAGCCAGTATATCTAAAATATGATTATTTTTAACATGTGAACAATTACTTTGTTTTTTTTGTTGTTTTGAGACAGGGTCTCACTACGTAGTTGAGACTGACCTGGAACTCACTATGTAGTCCAGGCTGGTCTCGAGCTCACAGCGATCCTCCTGCCTCAGCCTCCTGAGTGCTGGGATTACAGGTGTGTGCCACCATGCCCAGCTACAATTATTTTGTTATATTATTTACAATAATAATTTAAAACAATAATTTGAAATTATTAACAAAATACGTTCTCTTTTTTCCACACTACTCATAACTTGGTATATGTTTATATCATGTTTTCTCTCCGATTTCTTTGGGGGGTGCCGGGGATGGGAACCCTAGGTCTCAAGCCGGTTAGGCATATGCTCTGCTGCAGAGTGATACCCCCAGCCCACTCGCCACATTCAGGGCTCAGTAGCTACATGTGGCCGGCAGCTGCCACTCGGGACAGTGCAGGTGTAGGGCTCCCCTCTGCTCCCTCTGGACAGTAGCACAGGGCTGACTGGGTGACAGATGGACAGGTGTCTGTCCAGGTGGGGACAGGTGCAGGCAGGGTCCCAGGCAAAGCACTGGGTGCTTTGTAGTCACAGTGGCCTGATGCTGGTTGGGCTGGGCTTCCCACCGGCTTCCCTAATGAAATTCCCTGGGGTGCCAAGGGGTGCTGGGGCAGCTGGGGGCAAAGGATCAGCAGTAATGAGGACAACAAGGTGGCACTTGGGGATGGACTGGGACAGGGGTGGGCTGGGCAGCTGCTTTCCACAGGAGAGCCTCCTGAGCAGTGTCCCCAACTTCTGTCCACAGAGACTTCAGCAACAATGGGACCTCCCAGTGGTGAGTGATGCTGCTGCTTGGGTAGAGCCCCTTCCTGCCCTTGGCCTGGCGGGCAGAAGAATTCGCTGTCCCCAGTGAGCAGGGCCTGTGGCAGGGTGTGTGAGGAGGAGCCGGAGGACTTCCGGTCCTGGACATGGCCCTGCTGGTGTGGATATCCTTCATCCCAAGGTGACCTGGAGGCTCTGAGTAGGTCAGCAGGCTAAGGTCTTTCCTCAGGATTCACCCTAAAGCCCTAGCTTCAATTTCTTCCCAAGGAGCCCATGGGAAGTCCCTGACAGAAGGAGCTGGTGCCTGCTGTCCCTCCACCTTGAAATATGGTGCCCTTATCCCATTTATGGATGAGGAAACTTAAGAACAGAAAGGAGCCAGGCATGGTGGTGCCTGCCTGTAATCCTAGCACTCTGGAAGGCTGAGGCAGGAGGATCAAAAGTCTTGCCTTGGCAACTTAGTGATCAGTGAGACTGTCCCAAAATAAAAAGAGCTGGATACAGCTCAATGGGCAGGCTCTGAGTTCAATTCCCAGTTCTGGCAAAAACAAAAAAAGGAAAAGAAAAACCCCAGAGAGGTCAAGAGACTTGCCCAATGCTACTCCGAGGCAGGGTCAGTGTGGGCTGCCCGGTTCCTGTGCTCCTATTCCTAGGCCCGCCTGCTATGAAGACCTGGGATATACAAGGGCCAAGTGATGGGTGTGGGGCACAGGGAGAGTAGCACCAGCTGCTGGGCTGCTGGAAGGCCTCCTGGAATACGCAGGCTTCAGACTACATTTCAGGAGGATGGGTTGCAGCGGTGGGAGAAGCAAAAGATGAGGTCCTCAGAGACTGCTTCAGGAACCACGGCGGCCTCAGGCCTGTCTACCTTACACTTGCAGCCCTGAGCATGCGACCAAGGTGGCGCTGAAGGTGGTGACACCCATCATCATCTCGGTCTTTGTGCTGGCCCTGTACCTGCATGCCCAGCAGGTGGAATCCACTGCCCGCCTCGACTTCCTCTGGAAACTGCAGGTGGGTGCATAGTGTGGGCTGGCCTGGGCCTCAGGCGTTGCATCCTGCTTTCCAATTCCTGGGTTCCAGTGAGCTGCTGCTCTCTGCTTTCTGGGTCCAAGAGGCAACACCCTGGCGCTTACAGAGTGCCCGGCCAGTGCCCAGGAGGTGTACTCTGCCCTCCGCAAATCTGTCTGAGCTCTACCCAAGAGTGCCGTGGGCCGGGACCCCTAGAAGCTGCTTTGTGTGGAGATGGCAGAGTGTCCAAGTGCTGGAGGAGAGTGGCAGGAGGTGAGGGGAGTCGGGGTCCGTGTGGGCAGCTGCCATCCGGGGTTTCTATGCAGGCCGGGTGTGATGACTCCACCAGGAAGGACCAAGGATGAGTCCATAGTCTCAGCAGGAAGCCTGGTGGGCAGCAAGGATGGGGTGGGCCTTGTCACCTGCTGGGCCACCTCAGGGGGGCCAGGAGACAGCAGAGTGCTGCCTGCTGTGTGGGCTGCCTCAGACCTTTGACTCTAGCTCACTGGGCAAGGCTTGAGCATTGCCTGGCCTTCCCTCTCCTGGCCTGGCCTTAGCTCCAGACCAGCTTTCTTGGACTTCCTCCACCCCAAGGAATGAAAATCCATGGGGCCGGGGCAGGCCACGTGAAGATGGATGCCTGGCCCTTCTCTGGGGTCTGTTAGGTGGGGACAAACAAGCTGCCACAAGGGCTGGTCCTCCCGAGCAAGGTAGTGAGGGCCCCATGACCCCAAGAGAGTGGGTGGTGCCTGTCTGTCTTCCTGGAGAGCAAGTGCCTCCCAGCGTTTAGCCTGCATTGACCCTGCCAGACTGAAACAGCCACAGCTCTGGGTCTCTCTGCAGCAAGAAGGGCTGTGTTGGTGACAGGAATGAGATTTTCTCTTGTCCCCATGGTCTGACACCCCACACTAGGTCCAGACCATTCCTGACCCTATGGCAAACGTGGTCACTCAGTCTCTCAGATGCCTCGTTCTCTACCCAGCCTGCACTGAGGGGCATTTGTGTTCTTGGCCTAGCCCCAGGCACAGCTGATTCTTTTTCCCTGACCTCCTTCCCCAGTTACCTAGCTCACCTCCCCAATTTTCATCTTTTTACTTTTGGTAAGTTTTAAAAATGTATTTTTAAAGTTACAAGAACAGCATACAGTCCCTTCTCCACTTTTCAGCTTTGCTTCCCCTGCTACCTATATTCTGTGATGCCCGACCCCCGAACACTCCGGTGTCCACCTTCCAAAAACGAGCACGTCCCATCCCCTGCAGCCGAATGCAGTAGCCAGGTTCTGACCCAGGAGCCTCTCCAGGAGTGCTCTGCATTTACTTGCCTTTTCTCCGCAGTCTTTCCTCATGTCCTTCAGAACCCACCCAGACGCAGGCCCCATGTCCCGGGGCAAGGCCTGGGAGATGGTGTCACACCGGGCAACTCCACCACACTGACCCCTCTCACTCCTGGTGGAGCCAGCCTTGACTACCTGCTCAAGTTGCTCCTTTTCTCCCTTTTTGGTTCTGACCTCCAGCCTTGGCATCCTGGCTGGCTCCAGCCTGTCTCTGCCCCACAGGACAGCCAGCTCATGATGCTCCTCCTGCTGTGCTTGGCAGGGGGCCAGCTCTCTCCCAACCCCAGTGATTTGCTTGTCCATTCACTTGTCTGCATCAGCTTAGACTGAATCCCGTGGGTCATAACCGGCGACTCTTGCCACTCATTTTAGTGCTGATTGCCCCGGGTTTGGCTCTTGTGCCTTTCTCTGAGCCGGCTTCAGTGTCTTTGGACACGGCTCCATCATTGAGTGCTTGTCTTTCTAGTACAAGATGTCTCATGCTTATCTGATGCTTTCTGGCTCCAGCCCAGGAACCAGGGATTTCTTCATAGAGCCCCCTTGACAGCATGAGCTCCATAGGAGCATGATCTTCTGCCCCGGGTTCCCCCTCTGAGATGGGCCCTAGTCCTGTAGCCTTGGGAAGCTGTGCCACTTGCTTTCCCATGGACAGTCACTGTGCACAGTGGGGACCTGAGTTCTGAGAAACCAGCTGGTCCTGCTGGGGGGTCTGGTTGCAGCTGAATAGCAGGAAAGGCCAAGCAGGCCAGAAAGATGCCTGCTTCACCCTCACAGCCACTCCCAGCTAGAGAGTGTCGTTGGTACCTGGTATGGCACTTGTGCCTCCTGGCCCCACTGGCTCTGGAGCAAGTCTGCCTCACGGGAACCAGAGGTGGGCAGGCTCTGGGCCATGTTCCCTTGTGGGGTCAGTCAGTTAAAGCAGCCCTGCTTTTTCTGATTGTTTCCTGATATTAAGAGGAAATCAAAAGGTGAGGAAAGGTGGGCCCCTTGGGTAGCCTGAAGGTGGTGTGGGTTTGGGTCATGTGTTTCCCTTACAGTTCAGTAATCATGGACTGATGCCTCCAGCCTCCCCTCAAGACCTTTGTCTACCCCACTTCCCTCTTCTGGGATCAGACCCTCCTCAAGTGCATCACTTTCCAAGAGGCAGCAGGAAGCATTGGATGCCTAGCAATGTCTTCTTTTCTGATAGCTGAAGTAATGCTCTATAGAGAACGCTTGGAAGCAGAGAGAGGAGCAGGGCCAGCTGGGCACTTGTTGGGCACATACTCCCTTCCTTTTCCGAGTAGGGCCATTGCTCGGCCCTGCTCTAACCAGGTCCTGTATTCCTAGGCCACAGAGGAGAAGGAGGAGATGGAAGAGCTGCAGGCCTACAACCGGCGGCTGCTGCATAACATCTTGCCTAAGGATGTGGCTGCCCACTTCCTGGCTCGTGAGCGGCGCAACGATGAGCTGTACTACCAGTCTTGCGAGTGTGTGGCTGTCATGTTTGCCTCCATTGCCAACTTCTCTGAGTTCTATGTGGAGCTGGAGGCCAACAACGAGGGTGTTGAGTGCCTGCGGCTGCTTAATGAGATCATCGCCGACTTTGATGAGGTGCTTCTGGGGGTCCCCTGGGTCCCACTGCCCTCTCCCTCCACTGGGTGTGAGAATCAGTGACAGGAGCCCTGATGGCCAGAGTCTAGCTGTGTCCCAGGCACCTTGTACACATTAGATGAGTAAACTGAGGCCCACAGCCTTGAGTGTCTCATGTAAGGTCACTGGCTGTAAGAGCCACAGTTGGGGTTTCAGTTTTCGAACTCAACTGTCAGGACCCAGCACCCAGGAGGGCCCAGTGTCTGTGCCAGGCTTTAGGAGAGTCAGAGGAAGGCCATGTTCCCTGGGACCCTGGGCACAGAGGACCCGGTTGTCACACCCTGTGCCCCAGGGTGTACAGGCAGTAGGCAGGAACCCTGTGAAGGGATTAAGAGGCACAGTCCCAGCAGCCCTGGGCAGGGACTGGACACAGGACGGTTCTAGGGATGCTTCTTGCAGGGGTGCCAGATAGGGGGAGTGTCTTGCCTACAAACTTGGGGGTTTCCCTGGGTTGGGGTAGGGAAGCTGTGAGGAGTGGCCCTGGTTGGGTGGGCAGGTCAGCCACGGTCACTGTACTCGCACACTGAGTCTCTGCCTCCACCATGTGAGGTGGGGACAGGGCCATGCTGCTGTGCTTCCCTGGGTCTCCTCTGTCCCCTCCCTGGGGACCTCAGTGCCCCAAACTTGAGGGTGACCAGGTCTGGCCTCTCATCCAGATCATCAGCGAGGATAGGTTCAGGCAGCTGGAGAAGATCAAGACTATTGGCAGCACCTACATGGCTGCCTCAGGCCTCAACGACTCCACCTACGACAAGGTGGGCAAGACCCACATCAAAGCCCTGGCTGACTTTGCCATGAAGCTGATGGACCAGATGAAGTACATCAACGAGCACTCCTTCAACAACTTCCAGATGAAGATTGGTGAGTGCAAGGGCAGGCCGGGCTCCCCACCACCCCACATCCCTGTCAGAGTCCAGCGGCAGGAGGCGAGGAGGCAGCAGAGGATGGTGTAACAGTGTACCTCCCCGTCCTGGGCACTGGGAACCTGACCTTGCAGCTAAAGCCGCCCAGGCAGTGGTGCCTCCACTGTTGTGGACAGGACACTCGTTTTCAGTTTTTAGCAGTATCATGGATTAAACCCAGGGCCTTTGTACTAAGCCACACTCCCAGCCCTTTTTCTTTTTTATTTTGAGACTAGGTCTCACTGAATTTGCCTAGGGTGGGCTCAAACCTGAAGTCCTCCTGCCTCAGCCTCCCAGAGTGCAGGGATTCCGGGTGTGCACCACCACACGAGGCTTATAGTTCAACTTTTTTTTTTGGTATGAGGGATCGAGTCCCAAGGTACTTGGGACCTTGTACTTGCAAGGCAGGCAGTGGCACCACTGAGCTAAATCCTCGGCCCATTTTTTTTAACTTTTTAAAAAGAACAATATTATAAACCAAAACAAGTTAGCAGGTTATTGTTGAGTTGCAGGTGATGATGAAATCCAGCTGCTATAAAAACTTTCCTGCTCTTCCGGAACCTGGAAGTGGCGAAGGTGTGGGCTGAGCCACACACTTGTGTCATTCCTACACTCTGTCTTCAGCAGTGCCCTGCCCTGTGTGTGTGTGTGCGCATGTGCTGCTGCTGCTGAGGAGGAGGTAGGGGTTCTAAGCAGAGGCCCTGGACTGACTTCAAATAGGGCCTTAGTCTACTTTTTCAGAAAAATATTTAAATCAGAAACAGATCTTTTTCTTTTTTCACATTTAATTTTTATTACCCCAACTTTCTATATGGACAAGCCTCATCTCTGAAGAAGCGTTAAAAGAACTGTACAGTAAAAACCCATGTACATTTACATCCTCAGCCTCACCCCGCTCATAGATGATTTCCAAATTGTGCATCTGTGTTGTCTGTAAAGTCAAGCTGCTCTGGGATTGGTCCTTAGGGTGTGTCTGACCTGGCGTACAGCCTGACAGAGCAGCCTCCTTTTACAGTAGGAACTTGGTCAGGTGTTGTCCTTCTGTCTTGCGGTTTGTGGAGGTAGAAAATGCTTTCTGAAAGAGCAGATCTTTGTTCAATTCAGAATTCTCATGCATTACCAACTTGAGATTTCAAATTTGAAAAAAGTAACAGTAACTCACCAAAAAATACCGGAATCTCAGTTCTCAGAATTAGCACATTAAGTTGAAATATGGGGTTACTAAAACCAGTACTGATTATTAAGGTCCTGGGGGAGGCGTGTTGTTCTGGCCTGTGAGGAAACTGGGCTGTCCCTAAAGGAGCCACTCATGCTGCTTTCCGGGTACACTGCTCGTGGACCTGACCGGGTTTCCACATTGCAGTGGCTGCTGGAAAGCCTGGGCAGAACCAGCTGTGGGTCTGCTGTGACCCGTGTGCAGCCTGTGGTTTTGTGTTAACTTCACTCCTGGTTCCTCATTTGCTTTATCCACCCTCAGCCATTTGTATTTTCTCCTGTTGCATACTTTTGTAAACTGCCTCAGCTCCTTTATTGGGCAGGACTAGGGGCTGAGTGCAGACTCTACCGAGAGGTAGCAAAGCAGTCTTGCAGCGAGTGAGGTCTATTCCTACAGACTCAGGGACGGCTTCTTGGCAGTGTGTCCTCGAAATGGCCAGAGCCATCCAGAGCACCGTGTGGCCAGTGAGGTAGACAGTCCCTCCTGGAATAGCTGGTGGGGATAAAAAGTAGCAGGTGCCTTTGACAGGACTCAGAAAAAGGAGACGTGGGCAGGGACATGGGTCAGAAGCTAGTTGCTTATTGAGAATGGTGGGGAGAGAAATGGAGGCATGAGAAAGGAGGAGGTAGCACTTTGTAAATGCTAGTCTGAGATGAGGGTGAATCTTTCAAGTCCCTGAAGCAGGAATATGAAGAAAAGGTAATTGGGTTATGTGAGAGGGCACTGTGGACCTTGCTGAGGGCACTCCTGGCAGGGGACCTGCAAGAGTGGTGAGGACCCAGGAGCAGCAGATGAGTGTGTGAGTTCTAGCTGTCCACGGTGCAGCAGAGATGGGAGATGGCAGGGTGAAGCTGGCTCTCGGAGGAACACCCTGCAGTGTGTGGTGAGAGGAATGCTGGCCAGGGCAAGCAAAGCAAACACTGGTCTTCAGCTCAGGAGTGTGGCTGACTTCTGTTCCCTGCAGGGCTTAACATCGGCCCCGTTGTAGCCGGAGTGATTGGGGCTCGCAAGCCTCAGTACGACATCTGGGGCAATACAGTGAACGTGGCGAGCCGCATGGACAGCACTGGTGTGCCTGACCGCATCCAGGTGAGTGCAGGAGCATCAGCACCCACGTCACCCTTATGAGGGGACCTTCTGATGATGAGGTCTTCAGAGCAGGCCACCCACAGTTCCCAGTCATAACTTGTGCTCCAAATATAAGGCGACGGGGAAGTTGGTGCTGATGTTTGGGAAGCTTGGAAAACACAATTGTGTCCAGCCCTCAGCACCTTGGACAGATCCTCAGGCCTGTGCAGAGCCCTCTGCTGGGCACAGAAGGAATCGGGCAGATACAGTTCAGGTCTGTGGCTGCTAATGGGGACCCACAGGACCTGCCTACCCAGGAACACAGAAAGGGCACACAGACTCCTGCAGAGAACAGGGCCTTCCCAGTGGGCTGGCAGCTCTCAGAGCCTCGTTCCTGGATGTTGTCTCCACCAGCCCCAGTGGCCAAAGGGACTGGCAGAGGCCAGGGCTTCTATTTCTCTCAATCCCATGTAGGTTGACATTCGTGATTTCCAGGGCTATAGGGCTGCAGATGATTTTCTTTACTTTCCTCTGGAATTCTGTGACTGCTCGATCCAGTCTGACACCAAGGGGCCTGAGCTAGGCTCTTATCCTGGACTCCCCTCAATCTGTGTTCCCTGTGACGTTGTGGAGATCAGCTGCCCTGGCCTCAATTTTCTAAAGTCCTAACTATGCCATTTTAAAGACTTTTTACCCACACTGGCACTGCTTAAATGTGTGTCACTTGTGTACCCTGTAGGACTTCTGAACAAACAGATTGAGCCACCAAGCCACATGACCTTTACTATTACATCCACTCACTAAGGAGAGAAGGAGCAGCTGGGTGGGCTGGGCCCTGAGTGGGGGCAGGGGGTGTGTACATTTGCAGGCATCCTCACCCACCCAGCAGCAAGAGCAAGGGACTCTGCCAGCAGCCAGCACCAGCTTCACTAGGGCCTCACTACTTGAAAGCCACAGTTCGCGGTACAGGGCCTGTCCTTGTTGGCCCACCCAGCAAGTCCACTGCCTGTCCCTGGCTGCCCACAGCTTTGACAATGCTCTGAGAGACATGTGGCCATCCTGCCACTTCCTGTCCTGTCCCCCGCCCTTCTCTGCTCACCAGCACAACACAGTATAGTGCAGTGCTTTGAGAGTTTTCTGTGACACAAACAGCCCACTGCAGCACACATGCCACAGGTCCACTACCACTGTGGTGGGTGAAGCCCCAGTGAGTCCTCTTTGTCCTCAAGGCTAAGGCACAAAGTCTAGAACTTGGTCCAGGTTCTAACATTTATTAACTGTCACCGAAGGCAGGTGAGTCAGCTTTAGGAGCCAGAAATGAGACAGGCAGAGGTTCTTCAACCATCTGTGGTGAAAACCAGTTTTTAGAAATCTTTCTGATCCTGAAAAAGACCCTGACTGCACACTTTGACATCTGTTGCTGCAGTGTCTTGGAAGTTCCAAGATGCTGCTCTACTTCTAGAACCTTTCTAGACTGTGCTGTATAAGCACCATGCTGAGCACCGCTGACATAGCACATGAGGTGTTTGTCACAGCAGCACAGAGGGGGTGCCATGAGCCAGAGCTGCCATCGTTCTCTCATCCCAGCCTCTGCCCAGTCTGGAGAGCCCCTCTGTGGAGGGGCTGCCTGTCTCTCCAGCACAGGTGGGCAGTGGGCAGTTGGCAGTGAGGCCCACACACGGTTCATGTCTGAGCTCACCCACACCCTGTGTCCTACAGGTCACCACGGACATGTACCAGGTGCTGGCTGCAAACACGTACCAGCTGGAGTGCCGGGGCGTGGTCAAGGTGAAGGGCAAAGGTGAAATGATGACTTACTTCCTCAACGGAGGCCCCCCGCTCAGTTAGCAGCTGCCAGTGGTGGTGCCACAGCCTGGGCTGCACAGAGAGGGAAATGGCTTCTTTTGCTCCACGTGGACAGGCAGGAAGCCTGCACTCGGCCACACTGCCGTGCTGGTGAGATTTCCACCTGACTCAGAAGCAGCCTCTGCCTTTGCTGGTGGGCATGGCCTCTGGCCCAGGCCCCAGTGCCAGCGTCCTGCGAGCACCAAGCTGACCAAAGATGTTTGCCCTGCAGAAGACTCTGCTGGACTCAGCTGAACCTTGTTTTCTGACAGGTGCTGCCACTGCACAGGGGAGGGGCACTGCTGGAACCCAGCACGCGGCAGCAGGCCTGAGGAGGCCACAGCCTGGATGGTGGGGGCAGGCTCAATGTTGGCCTGGGGTACCAGGGACCCCCAAGGGTCTGCTGCTCCATGTGAGCCTATAGGCTTCAGACAGAGGCTGCACCCCTTCTCCCCGGTGGTGCTCTGGGGCAGGAGTGCTGGCTGTGGAGGGGCCTGGGCCTTCACCTCCACACACAGACAGCACCCTGTGAGGGAAATGGGACCGATTGTGAGGGGGAGACAGGAGGATGTCAAGCGAGGAGTGGGGGCTCTAGGAAAAGGAAATATTTATTAAATAAAACACGTTTTCTGTGCCCTTCTTTAGACTATGCTAGTTGTATTCGTGTAAGAGACACAAGCAAAACAGGATGCCACGGGGGAGGGAGGGCAGGGGTCCCAACTTGTCTTTTTTGTATTTTTTATTTTGTATTATTGAAAGCCTTGGAGATCTAACAGATATACCAAATTCTATATTTTGTAAATTCTCTATATTAGAAAACAGCTGTGCACAGCGGGGCGTGTGTGTGCATTTGTACTGTACGTCTGTCGATGTGTGCGCTGGTGTACATGTGCGTGTGTTCATGCTGCAGACCTGCTCTCCTGCAGACTGTTTCCCTCATTTCAGACTTGGCAGATTTGGTTTCCCCCGGTACAGCTAGAGCAGGGCTGTGTCTTTTGGGGTTCCACACATTCAGATGGAGGAATGACAATGCAGAGATACATTACTCCATCTCTAACACACATGCACACGCGCACACATCCCACTTCCCCTGAGTAAAATGCAAACAGAATAAAAAGAAAACAGAGCTTCTTTTCCACCCCAGGCTGCGTTGGAAGCAAGGGCCACAGCCTCACCCTGAGTGGTCAGCATGACTTGTTTTGTCTGCCTTTTGTTTTAATGGGGAGGAGGTAGCCAAAGATACTGAGGAAAGCAAACCCATTTTTATCCCTTCGAGGGAGGCATTGGAAAAACGATGCGCTTCATAGAGGTGCATTTAATGCAGCTTCCACAGGGCCTGTGCCCAGATCTGTTCAGTTTCTCAGGGCAGAATTTTTCTCCCCTCCCACACAAGTGTGGGGCAGGGGCAGTGGCAGAACTAGATCAGCTGCTGAAATGTGCTGTCGATGTCCACCCGTGTCCCCTCACCTCTGAACACAGCTCTGAGAAGCAAAACTGTGGGCCCCAAACTGCCAACCCTGAGACTGTTCCATGCTTTTGCTCCTCCACTTTTTTTTTTTTTACTTGTACCGGGGATTGAATTTAGGACCTTGCACTTGCACTTGCGAGGCAGGCGGTGGAACTGTTGAGCTACATTCCCCGGCCCTCCTCCACCCTTTGAGCCCTGCCTTGGCCTCTTGCCTCTGCTGTAGGGGCCAGCTTCCTCCACCTTGTTCTTGAGTCCCTGCCTCCATCTGGCCCTTTGATGGTGCTGGGTGTTCGTTTCGCTTCCAACCTGAGTAGAGTGTGTATGCTGTGTTCATCCTGTGCTCCTGTTGGTCACGGCCTGTGGGCCCTCCCCATCTCAGCAGTGACTGGTGACAGCGTGCAGTGCTAGCTCTGCGTTCCCTCTAAGGGTGTGCACTCTTTTTATTCCTGCTCTTGCAAAAATGGATACAATTATGATTTCCCATGGAAATTGAAAAGTCTATTTAAATAATTTAACTATTAAACACTTTCACTGGTAATGTATTCTTGTCTGATTTTTGGGTTGCGCTGGGTGCAGGGACAGATGCTTTAAAACAAGCGAGCCTACCATGTTTATATGCCAAGGGAAAGAAGGGGAAAACACAAGAGAACAAAGTTAGGGGAAAGGACACGAGGAGGCAGGAAGGGATGAGCCACAGGCCAGCAGTGGCTGATGCACTGCACAGCTAAAAGCAGCACGCTTGTAGGGAACCACACTGGAGCAGGTGCCCATGCACGTTATCTCAGATTCCCTGGCCAGTTTGTTCACTGAAGAAGCTGAGACACGCAGAGGCTGCAAGGTACTTAGAAAGGGGTGTCAGAGCAGGCCCTGTCTACTGTCCAGGCTCATTCAGGGGACACTCCAGTGTTGACTACATCGAATTCAGTTATACGGTATTTGGCTCAGTAAATCCAGAGAGGCATGGGCAAATTAAGTTCAACACAGGTGTACATGAAGAACGAGGGAAAAGATTTCATTCACTACAGCAGGGCCACAGGGGACTGAGAGGCAGCGGTGACAGGATGGTGGGGCCTCCAGGACTGAAGGAAGTGGACCTCACTAGGGCTTCAGAAGTGTGGGTCAGGTATGCTTTAAAAAAAAAAAAAAGCAATTTAACTCAAATTCCCAGGCTGGGGTACATTTGATAGAAAAAGATCAAATGACAAAGAGGCACAAACCTCAAGGGCCAAATGGAACCCCTTTCTCCTGAGTGACAGCAGGCAGGCCCATGTGCACAAAAGTGCATATGCAACCCCAGAGGCAGGCAACCACCCCTCATCGGTAAGCCTCACTCAAGCCTGTCCCTGTGGGAAAACTCAGCAAACAATTTAAAGGGTTCTGCTTTTTCCCCAAACCCTAGAAAGCAAAAGCCCAAAACTCATTAGAAAAGATGCCATGGATGCGAAGACCACCACCCTGCTGATAGCAGATGGCAGACATCAGACGTAGGGGTTATCAGACCGCAGTGTGAAGCTAGCAACAAGTGAGCAGGCAGGCACAGTGAAGCTCGGTGTGCTGGAGAAGCCGGAGCTAAGAATTCACCAGGGAGCCACACTATGAGATTTTCACAGAAACAAGTTATGTCTGTCAACTTCCCAAAGCAATGTCACCTGGGTGCAGAGTTAACTGGTGCCCTAGCTGTGGCTCTCCCATGATAAATCATGGGTGTCTGCCATCATGCTGCACAGCCTGGAGTGTCAAGGAGCCAGAGAGGGACACCACACTCAAGTGGCTACAAAGCAGGAAGCACCCCCAGACACAGACTGACAGGGCTCAGCCCCTCAAGTCAACTATAATGGCAGCCCACAGCTCTAGAACTTGTCCAAATCCAAACAAACAGGAGAACAAATAATACACAGCTCGCTTTCAAAACAAAGGTACCCAGCAGGGCTGGGCCACTCTGCACGATGCCCCACTACCTAGGGTGAGTATCAGGAGAGTTGAAAGGGTGAGGGTTATTTACATGTGTAATTTCTTACCCCAGCCCTCTCTGGATGAACTGCACAGTCATATTTCTCACCCTGGCCTCCCCTGGGCCTGGAGGCAGCTCAAGGGGGCTGGTGCTTGCAGAGACTGCTCAGATGCTTGGCACTCGCTGGGGTGCTCCTGTCCAGTGCACCCATACGCTGTGGACTGCTGAGTTTGGCAGGAGCAGGGGGCTTGTGTATCCTCAAGGTCAACAGTAGGTGAAAGGAGATTCGGTTATTAAAGGATTCTCTTCTTACCCTCTGAGATTTTCTAAAAGACCCTGGGGCCCTGGGGTTTTTCTTTCTTTCTCTTGGGAGGGGAAAATACATTGGTGTCCTCTTGCTTGTCTTTCCTTCCCACCTGCAGTGTCTCTGCTTCACAACATGAATGCAAGAATAAAGCCACCAAGGGCACTGGCCTGGCTGGTCATCAATGTCTTTTCCTCCTCTGGCATTCTCTGATTCTAAACTCATGTGTAACCTTTAGCCTGTCTTCAAGTACCAGACCATGTGTATGGCACAAATGTAAAGACAACCTAATTAGGGCCTGAAGACATTACACCAAAAGCAAAGACAAGGTAGCGTCATGCCAAGGGATCTGCAGGACAACTGCCTTCAAGGCAAAGCCAGAAACAGCCCGTGCTTTGTCCTCCAGACACTAATGCAGCAGCAGCGCGCATGGCAGCAGCATGGCCAGAAGCCTCTGCCATCTGAGCCCTAAGCCAAGGGACTAAGTGGTTGGAGAGCAGTCAGGTTCACAAATCAAGCAGTGGGGCCACAGACTAGCAAGAGGGCAGAAAGATGATGAAGGAGAAGAAAGGATTCCCGGAGACTTGAGGGTCAAGGAGGCAGCCTCCTGCCCCATAGGCTCCCCAGCCCTACACCTCAGAAGCCCATGTTGCTGGTATGCAGGGAGTAGCCCCAACCCACATCCATGGTGAGAGCAAGGCCACCTCCAGAGCCCTGTACACACTGTCAGCCTGTCAGGCCTGCGGATATAAAGAATTCTCTCTGGAATTCATTAGGGGATTCCATCACTTCTTTTTTCCACTGGCCACTTTCTAATTTTGACCTGGCTGGAATCCGGTTTGTCAGCATCTCTGGTTAGCCTCACTTAAGAGTGGTTTCCAGCCTTATGAAATTTGCTTCCTGTCAGTGAGCCACAGGGGCCCTCCCTCCTGGTTCACACAGGACTTTGTTTTGTTTTTTTGAGACAGGGTCTCACTATGTAGTTGAGACTGATCTGGAACTCACTATGTAGCCCAGAATGGTCTGGAACTCACAGTGATCCTCCTGCCTCAGCCTTCTGAGTGCTGGGATTACAGGTGTGCGCCACCATGACTGGCTCACATAGGACTTTGGAGGAGTGTGTCTGGTTTCAAATTAAGCTTTTCATAGCCACATTGCATTTGTGCTTTTTAGGGGTGACTTTTAGCTCTTACCTTTCCAGCACCTCCATGACACTGTGGATTGCAAACTGCTGGCTGCCCACTGCTACCCTGGCTTTCCCATTGATGCACATAATCAGGGGCCCCCACTGAGTGGTGCCACTGGGCATCTGTTGTACAAAAGGGCCTGGTGGATACGAATCACTGATGACACTTAACCCATAAAGTTAGTTTTACCACAAACAGTAAGATGTATACTTTCCTGCCCTAGTATCTAAGCACACAGAAGGCTCCCCATACCTCTTGCAGCCATCTGTCCTGTCATGGTTATACACGCAGGAATTTTAGCAAAATATTTTCCTAGAACAGTTACACTGCAGGAGTTAGAACTGACTTGATCTCTTTTATTACAAAAGTAATGTTACATATGGATTTCCATATTACATACTTTTAGTTTGAGGTTACATGGGGTAAGAGCAAAAGTTCTGAATAAGATAGATTTGGGTTGAAATCCTAGTACCACCACATCGATTACAACACTGTGATTATGGTCAAGCTGCTTAGCCTGCATCCCTTGTGCCTGTCACATAGAACACTGCCACTGCTCTCCACGCATGCTTCGTCTGTTCTCATGTTGCTGCGATGGTAGGAAGAGCCCAGCCGTTATTAGCTGCACACACACACTAAGAATTTTCTTTCTGAGGTACACTGTGGCACAGAAAGGTAATCAACTTATATTTAAAACATTAAGCCTAGGGCTGGGGATTTAGCTCAGTTGTTCTGCCACTTGCCTTGCAAGCACAAGGACCCAAGTTCGATCCCCGGTACCAAAAATTAATAATAATAATAAAACATTAAGCCTAGACTTCAGGTTTGGACTCCACACCCACCGCTCAATGTGATAATCACACAGAGGACCAGTTCTTGACCCATGTCTTCGTTTTCTCAAGTGGAAATGAGATGGTGCCCCTCACTCTGGGTAGCCAGGAAGACAATGCAGGCACACCTAACAGGACAGTGATGGCGAGCACTCCTGCTGTTACTCCTAGGCACTGGAGGAACACCAAGTGCAAAGGCAAAGCATTATCTGTCTGCCTTTAGGCAAAGCCCCTTTCTACCCAGCCTCAAAGAACAGCACTGGCACAAAGTAGGCAAGTGACCAAGGCAGAGCTGGACCAGGACAACAGGACCACATGGGAAGTGGACTGTGTGTGTCCTGTTTCTGTTTGAAGGAGCCCAATGTGTGCCTGCTGGGTGATGCTTGCATTACTGTGCTATGGGAAGGAGAAAAGGGCAAATGTAAATTGTGGGTGAGGTTGTGCTGGAAATACTGTTAGTTGCCAAGGAAACACAGGAAAGGATTCGTAATGCTAGGGTACTGATTTCAGGAACTCTTGCCAATTGTGCTGACGTGATCGATTGCACAGCAGCACTGCCCATGCCAGGACGGTGTGTGCCCACGTGTCCACACCCCTCAAAGGCAGGAAGATGCAAACCATATCACTTTTGATCACGCAATGTTCCCATGTTTATTGTGATTTCAACTGCTAAATAAAGTAACCTAGAAAGCTCGGCCACCAAAGAGATCCTGCAAGAGTGGCAGCCATAGCTACATCTTCTCCTCGAGACAGTGTAGGCTTTACCTAAAGGTTGCAGTCTGCCAGGACCTCAACAGCAGGCCAGAACACCCATAAGGATGATGTGACACCTCTATGCTAGGGAAGATGCAGGCTTGAGTTAAACTCTCTGCCAGTTCATCCTTTACCCACAAACCCCCTCATAACTCCTCAAATTGCAGGGGTTTCTCTTAGCAATTTTTATTTTGTTTTGTTTTTTTGGTACTGGGGATTGAACTCGGGTCCTTGCGCTTGTGAGGCAGGCCACCGAACCGCTGAGCTAAATCCCCGGCCCTTCTCTTAGCAATTTTTAGCAAGGGTATTTTAAAGCTAATTTAAACATAAGATCAGGTTTTATTTTACCACTGCATTTCTAGGTAGAAGGACTCCATTTTTGAAGAGGTAATAATGCAGAAAAATACTCAGAAGCCCTGACCATAGATAAAGGATGCAACTCTAAAGAGTGAGCTATAATCTGTGGTAAAGCTAAATGCTCAATTTGGTCTAAGTGGTGGATGCTTTTGAAATAACTGATTTGTCCTTTTACCACACACTCCACAGTACCTCTAACTCTTAAAGTAAACCAGAGGGCTATAAAACAGAAACAAGAAGAACGGCGCACAACACACACACATGCACGCACACACAACTTTGTTGTGCCCCATCTAACATCTCAAAGAACATCTTTAGGTTCATAACTCTTGGAATGAAGGCCAGGCAACCACAGCTCACCTCAGGAAAATGGGAACTACCTCCTCTGGGCATGACAGTGAAGTCTCAATGGCAAAGTTCTGGTCTCTGTGGACCTCTGACAAAGCAGCAGCCTAACAGGACTCCAGACATGGTCTAACCAGAAAGAGAGCCATGCACCTTTCCAGGCTGGACTCTGCTGAGAAAAGATCCTCCTTTGTAGCAAAACTGATATGTTAATGCAGGAAAAGTATGCTCACTTTATATAAATTGTAAAATTACAAAATTTGGTAAAGTTTCTCCTTGAGTCAAGTCTCTAGCTCAAATGGATTTTCAAGTTTAACAGATAACTTGGTTTTACCTTAGGGCAAGGATTCTTTTTGGAACAAAATCTTCTATTAAACACACACAAACACACACACACACACACACACACACACACACCCTCTCAAGTGGAAGCCTCTGAAAAATGGTACAAGTTGCAGATTCAAGGCACAATCATAATATACAAATGTGGGTCAAATAATAAATTCTTTTCATTTTAGCGCTTTGTAGGACACTCAAGTGAAAACCTTTTTAATCAGGATTTATCAGGACAGAGCCTCCCACCCTGCCAGACTGAACAATGACCTAGTTTCCCTTCTTTTAGCCTTAACTTCTAGGAAGTCTCAGAGTCACATCAGTGACAATAGTACCAATGCTTCAACCCTTATTTTCATTAATCTTGTTCCTCTACCCTTTCTGTTCATATTTTAGTAACAATGTTTTTATGTCATTTCTTGGTATGCTGTGTTCCAAATGCTTTGGGAAAGGTTCAGATATATTTCAATACAGACCAAAAAAGCAGACATAAAGAGGATAACTTTGCTCTTGAGGAACAATCAAAAAGCAGTATTTCATGGTTGCCTAAATTAAGATAAAATATACCTATTAAGATAAAACACACCTGTAACAGACCTAGACTCACTGATTTCAGAAACCCTCAATTACTTGATTTGACTAAGAATCAACATATTCTCTGAATATAATCTTGGTCACCTTCATTTGTCTCACACTAGTTAAAAAAAAGCTGTGCACTAGATTAAAGTTGTGTGTGCTTAGCTACGTGGCATAAGTCAATAAGATCTGATTACCTTGGTTTCCTCCCAATGAATGAGGGCAGCTACTACTTATTTGCTTTGCACTACAAAATTCATTCTAATGAGATAAACCCAGTTTGTTCTTAGAGGTTAAAGTGCAATACTAAGATATTAGTATCACTGTAACAGTTAAGCTGGATTGTCAACTCAATTGGCTTTAAAGCTGCCCAGAGAATTAGCAGAACACACTTCTAGGTGAGACTAGGTGGTTATGGAGACTTGACCTCAGGTACTATATCTGATCCCCAAGCCCTTCCTTTCAGGCACTGTTCCCTGATCTGCTTCCTGGCTGCCAGGCAGTGAGCAGCTTTGCTCCACCACACCCTTCTTGCTATGATGTTTCTGCTTTGGAGCCAAATAAAACCTCTCCTCCTTTAAGTTATGGGTATCAGGTATTGTGTCCCAGCAATACGAGAGCTGACTGACACAATCATATACCTTAGATGCCTAAGTGATTCTTTCTCAAGAGCCTAAGAGCTTCTTTAAACCTATGTCCCAAATCTCTTCCCAAACTCATAATTTCTTGGCAATTACATGATACAGACAGGAGTCTCTACAACCACTCAGGGAAGTAGGCACCAAATGAAAGAAAGCATTTATATACATAAAACATGATTTATACCTGTTTCATTTTTTACATTAAGATATAAACATCCATTATCCAAAATAGCCCATGAAATAAAAACAAAACAAAAATGAAAACCAAGCCTTTAAAAAAAACAGCTGGTGAGGAGTTTTCAAGTGTCCTTGTTGAAAGGATCCAAATACCGAACACACTAAGTCAATAATTCCATGATAAGGAGATAGCTCCTGAACCAAAGTGATAAAACTGGTAACTTTCTGGTTATTTAATAATTTACAAGAAAACTGTCTTAGCCATTAGTTAGTTTAGAACTCCTTTACTTTTCTGGTTCAGAACAAAACTCCAAACATTAACTGTTGTTTTGATGATTTTAAGATCATGTGATGCCTTGGGGTACTTAATTCAGAATACACATACTTTCTATGCAGCCTTGTTTGAATAGAGGCAGCAAACTAGAGTTACCTGGAGTTTCTTCTTTTAAATAAAATAAAGCATAAGCTTTGTGTATTCCTTATATTTCATTCTTCTAAAAGGACGGGGCAGCCAAGGATCTAATTAAGATCTTAGACATAGTTCGAGCCATATCCACATATTCTGATTCAGGCCAACAAGGCAGCTCAAGGACTTTATCCTCCAGCTATTTCTTATAATAAATAGGCCCCCCAATAAAAATTATATATAATGGTGCCTGCTGTTTCTCAGTAGCCTATGAATTCATTTTTGAATCTTTTCTTTCAAAACAATGGAAAATTGCTCAAGAAGATAACTTCCAAAAGTGGGAGAGTTGTAGATTTTGCTAATGTAATCAAATTCTGCTTCCTATATCATTAATTTGTAATGCTTGAATATCTTTCTAATGTTTTTAGAAAGTAAGTTTTCTCAAACACGTGCTTACTTCCTAAAGCCAGAGTTGTGAGAAAAGTCACCTTTTGATACCTAGTACATACAGTCCAGTATTTCCATAGTCAGGTCCATACTATGGCTGGCACACATGGCACGGAAGAAATACTGAATCACAGTGAGACTGTCTTTGCCTTTAGAATGTCTTTTAACCACCAATAACTCCACAGAGTCTCATTTTGGGGCAGGTAAGCTCTTTCATTGTCACAAAGTACAGGCTTTTTAGTTCAGAGCCTTGGCAGGCATTAATTAGTATCTAGCTAAATCTTGGTAACACTTTTTGTATTAATTTATTTATTCTGTGGTCACTTTTTATTTATGGCAAACTACCACTGGTTTTCTTCTTAGAGCAGGATTTCTTTCTTTTAAAAATACTTTAAATTTAAAAGATAAATATTAAGTAAATAGAGTATATAGCACCCAAGTGATTCAAGTTTGGGAAACAATTATTATAATTATTATAATCTAGTCAATCATATTTTTCTTTTAGGGGATCACATTTTTAAAAAGTGATTTCAAAAGAAAGAACAAGAAACACAGTTTAGAAAGAAAATATACAATGCTGTATTTTCAATACTTGCGATGTTCCAGAGACAAACGCACCACAGCTTTCTCCTACATCAGGTAATTTCCAGAGTTAGGACTCAAGCAAAAACAGAAAAGCAAAAGAACCAATTCCATACCACCCTACATTCATAAAATCTTGGTACTATAAATGTACAAATAATCTGATATTTAACACAGTCATTTGCTTTGAAACATGTACTTTCCAATTTCTACGGCATCCTTTCATTTGGTCTATAGTAATGCCTCACAAAGGCAAACTCAGGATGCAGCACCTGCTTGGTCCCCAGAGCAAATCCATGCCTCTGTTTTGACTCAGCTCCACTGAGGACTCAGGACAGCCAGCCAGACCTTCTAGTGCAGTCTGACTTCTTCCACTCTTACGGTCGTGAAGAGACAAGGCTCCTCCTTCTCTAGGTAAGCTCACACCAAAATTCTTCAGAGAGGAGTCTCCCTACCAGGTCTCGCACGCTCACAGGCATGCCATGCTGATTTAAAAACAAGGAAAATTGGAGAAAAAGAATGCAGAGCTTCTCATTTGTGGTGACTGGTTTCTTCATCACAGTGGCAGTTAAGATATGTCCCCTCCATTTTCCCCTGAAGCCAAAGCAACACATCTGAAGGAGGGTGTCAGACATCATAATCAGGAGCCTTGCCCTGGGCTTGCCTCAGCCAGATCTGCAGTGTGACAAATGCTCCCACAGTCACATGAAAGAAAAGCTGCCAGAGGTTGCGCAGTTCATAGAGATACATATTGCATAGACAGATTAAACCAAAAGTCAAAAAAGATTTGACATTCCGCCAGCTGGTATAGTAGACAAGTAAATAACACTGTTCAAAATATAAAAATGAAAGATGATTAGAGCTATAAGAAAAGAAACAGATGTTTCTAATATAAAGTTGTAACGGATCTGAGAATGAAATATGAGACCAGAATATGGGTATTTTTCACTGAAGGATAAGATAATGTAACATCTAAGATATTCAGCTATGAAAGTTCCACAGCTTGAAAGGGGAATAGACTTTTTCCTTTTATGTCTTTCATTTTTCAAAAAAGAAGCATTTCATACCACATTTTAAATGAAAGTACAATTGGATGATTCCCTTGCAAATAGGCTGGGCAAATTGTCCAAGCTAATAGGTAACCAAGATATGTTGTTGCCAAGGACAAGGGGGTTGTTCTAGTCTTACTTTGAAAAATACCAAAAGCATGCATAAGTTATTTCATAAACTGGACTCTAATATAATATGAATCTGAGTATTAATGAAATCAACAATATTTAACTGGGAGCCAATGAGTGCAAGAAATTGTGCTAGGTACAGAATCTGAGTGAATATTCGAGGGAGATTCCTCATTTACATATTTATTGAGGGCCTGCTATGAACAAGTACTGTTCTTCAGTTATGAGTGAAATAAATGAAATTTTTGCTCACACAGAGCTTACATCTCAGTGGAGGATTATAAACATTTTAAATATATAAGTTATGTTTTGAAAAAGGTAAAACAGTAAAAGGTGTCAGAAGATGACAATGTGTGCTAATTTAGAAGAAACAGTAGAAAGTGCCCCAACCCTGGCATTCCTCCTTTCCTGATTTATTTTTCTCCATGATACGCTATAAACATATCTGAAAACATGCTTATTTTGCTTGTCATCTGCTATGGTTTAAATCTAAAATCCTGTGTTCAGAGGTGGGGCCTGGCTGGAGAGGGCAGCATTGGGAATGACCTGGAAGTGTATATTGTGTCCCTACCTCCATCCTTCTCTTTCTCTTTCTGCCTCTGTCAGTCTCTCTCTCTCAGTGCCTGTCTGTCTGTCTCTTCCCTCCTCTCTCCTGAGGTTTTTCAGAGGTGGCTGGATCTACAGTGTGTGACACTGGAACTGATTCACGGTGCAATGCTAGGATCAAGGGCACTTGGATTAAGGGTCTGAGTGCTACCCATCCTAAGTAGCATGAATAAGATCAGGGACAGAAAGAGCTGTGATCATCTTTCCTTGCTTGCTTTGCTACCTTTGCCTACCTTCTCCTCTATAATGCCTGTCTGCCCTGCCACCCTGCCTTGAAGCCAGCAAATCATGGACTGAATCTTCTATAAACTATGAGCTAAATAAACCTTTTGTCCTTTAACTTTGGGTGTTGCGTATTTTATCTTAGCAATGAGAAAAGTAACATAATCCTGGATCAGGAAGAAAATACAATAAAGAACACTTTGGAGATAACTGAAATGATCTGAATAGAAATTAGGATCTCTAGATAATATTCTATCAATGTTAATTTTCTTGGGTATGGCATGGTGTCATAGCTATGTGGAAGAATATCTATGTTCTTAGAAGATATGTGCTTAAGTATTTAAAGGGGAAATATGAATCTAATGTACTGTAAAAACAATAAGCACAGAGACTTCTGTTTCTGGGAAGACAGAGTAAACACTTTGCCCTGCTTTTCCCATTATGAAGAGCAAAAAAACCCTGCACATTATAAATAAAACAAAAATAAGACACCGAATGGTAGAGAGAAGACAGCAAAGTTAAGAACCCTGACAGGGAATGACACAGTGGCAACTTCCCTGGGCTTCCTTTTTGCCTTGTACTTTCCATGCTTGAAGCTGAAGAAGCTGGCAACTAGAAATGTCACCAAATATATACCAATAAAAACAGAAACAAACAAATACCTCCTCACAAAAAAACCCAAAGCAAAAAACTCAAGATCTTGCCCTTGCTAGCAAAGATTAGGAAAAATGAACCTTAACAAGATAGAAACATATACACAATAACTATTATATTCTAGCATAACACAGAAAAACCTGCTGCTCACCTTACCCATATCATCAAGGGCTGAGTGGGAGAGGGTAGAATGACATACAGAATTCCAGTCCCCTGTAAGCTTCCAGAAGGCAAGGAACCTGGATGTCATTCCCATAGGATGATAATGACTTCTCCCTTCCACCCACACCCCCATTTCCCTACAATGATGTAGTAGAGATTATGTGGGATCCTGGACATTCATCTCCACTTGTTAGTAACAAGGCAATGGATCTCTCATTACTAACAAGACTGACAGGATTTCTTGTCAGGAACTAATGGAACAAGAAAAAGGTGGGATGATTTTTCTCAAATGCTAAAAGAAAAGAGCTGTCAACCCAGAACCCTATATCCAACAAAAAAAATCCTTTAGGAACAAATGGGCAACAGTGACTTTGGTGCGGGGGGGAGGAATACCAGGGGCCAAACTCAGGACTTTGCACTTGCCAGGCAGGAGTGGGCACCATTGAGCTATATCCCCAGCCCAACAGTGACATTTTTAAAGGAGAGAAGACTAAGACATTTTTTCACCAGTGGATGTACCCTCAAGAATAGCTAAAGGGTATCTTTGAAACAGAAGGAAAACAATAAAAAAGAGAACCCTAAGATATTAGGAAAGAGAAAAGAACATAGTAAGCAAAAATATAGCTAAGTACAATAGGTTTTCCTTTTTCTCTTCCAAATTATGTTTTTCTAAATTATGTTTCATAGTTGAAGCAAAAATTATTCTAACAGTGTCTGCTGTATTTTACAATATATATAGAAGAAATATTTAAGACAACTGTAAATAAGGTTGGGCAAAAGGACATCTAGAGAGTCATGAGAACTGGTAAAATCATGACACCAGTAGACTGATAAGTAGCCTTCATGTGATTCCTAAATCAACCATTTAAAAAGCTGTAAAAAGAGATACTAAAAAATACTATACATGAACTGAAATGGAATTCTTTAAAAAGTTTAACCCATACAAGGACAGAAAAAAATAGAAAAATAAAAAACAAAATAAAGCCCTAACAGATCCATAATTATATTAAATATAAATGAACTAAATATAGCAATTTAAAGGCAGAGATTGGCAAAATGGATTTAAAGATTTGAATTAACTCTGTGCTGTGTACCAGAAAGTCACTTCAAATGACAGAGATAAGGTGAAACCTGGAGTATGGAAAAGGATATATCATATAAACATTAATCAAAAGAAAGCAAGAGTGGTTCTATTAGTAAAAGATAAATGCCCTAATATTTCAATCCCTCACCCCCCAAAAAAAACCAGGGACACAGAGAGAGAGACATTATGTAATAATACATAGGTCAACTGGTCATGGTAAGGCAGCAATCCTGAATGTATATGAACCAAGCAACACAGCTCTAATATATGAAGCAAAAATAGAACTCAAATGAAAAGAAAAACCATCAATTCAATACTCTTCTCTCAACAAGAGCAGAAATTTGAAATTGAAAACAAAAAAAATTAGTAAAATCAATGAAATTAATAGGTGGTTAGTCATAAATATTAGTGAAATTGAAACTGACAAACAAGACTGACCAAGAAAAAGAGACAAGTTACCAATACCACTATAAGGGATATCACGACAGATACTACAAATGTCAAAAAGGCAATAAGGAAATAGTACAATAGACTTTACACACATAAATTTAACAACTTAGATGAAATGGACAACTTCCTCAAAAACCACAAACTACCATAATGCACTCAATATGAAATAGGTAATCTGAATAGCAAAACTGAATTTAAGATGACCTATAAGTAATCAAGGCTCTGTGGTTGTAGTGAATAAATACATATATCAATGGAACGCAATTCAGAATCCAGAAACAGTACCACACAAATATCTCCAGCTGAATTTTCACAAAGGTCCAAACACATCTCAATGGAGAAAAAAGCCATTTAAACAAATGGTGCTGAAACAACTGACCACCTATATGCCAAGGGGGAAGAGAAATTCTGAGTCTTACATCTCCTCTATAAACAATGCAAAATGGATCATCAATTTTAAAATGTAAAACTGTAAAACTTTTAGAAAAAAACAGAAATCATCACGGTCTGAGGCTAAGCAAGGTACTTAGTATGATCCATAAAAGGAAAAACTGATCAAATACACTTTATCAAGATATTTATTCTGGGAAAGACCATGTTAATAGGATGAAAAGGCAAGCTATATATTGGAAACTGATAGGTGTAAATTATACATCTCACCAAGGACGAGTATTTAGAATATATGAAGAACCCCTTCTTTAAAAAGCACCGAAACAACAGTTAAAAATAAAGAATCCAATTAGAAAATGTACAAAAGATATGAACAGACATTTCACAGATGATGAAAAGTACATGAAATGATGCTTAACATCATTAACCATTAAAGAAACGCAAATTAAAACCACCATAAGATATTCCACACTTAAAATGGCTAAAATAAAACACAGGGATAAAAGAAATGCTGATGAGGCTATAGAAAAACAGGATCACTTGAACACTGTCGGTGGGGGAGTAAAATGCAAAAGCCACTCTGGAAAACAGTGTTAGTTTTTTAAATAAAACTAACCATGCACTACCATGTGACCCAACAACTATAATCTTGAATTTATTCCAGAGAAGTGAAGATTTCTGTTCATATAAAAACTTGTACATAAACATTTTAGCAGCCGTTTATAATAGCCAAAAATTAGAAATATCAGATATCCTTCAATGAGTTACTAAACAAATGGTGGTATATCCATATCATGAAATATTATTTAGCACTAAGAAGGAATAAGCAATTGATTGTTCAACAAGTTGGAGAAAGCTCCAGAGATGTATGCTAAGTAGACAAATGCCAATCTCAAAAGGTTGATATGAACTGAGTACCTGTGCACCTCCATGCAAAAATGCACATGTCAAAGCCTAACCCCTAATATGTTGGGATTAGGAAGTGGAGTCATTGGCTAGTGAGTGATTAGGTTTAGATGAGATCATGAGAGTGGAACTTCCATAATGGCATCAGTGCCCTTGGAGGAAGAAAAGAAAGACCAATGCTTTCACTTTCTGCCATATGAAGACACAAGACGTGAGCCTTTTACAAGCCAGGAAGAAGGCCCTCACCAAAAGTTCATCTGCCAGCACTTTAATCTTGGACTTCTAAGGCTCCAGGAATATAAGAAATAAATGTCTACTGCTTAAACCACCTAGTCTATGGTATTTTGTTATGGCAGACTGAACTAAGACAGTTATAGATGTCCATTTATATAACATACTGAAGGCACCAAGAGGGCTCCTTTGGAGACAGGAATGTTCTGTCTTCATTGTGTCAATATCAATATTCTGCTTGTGATACTGTTTTAGAGTTTTAGAGGATAGTACTATTGGGGCTACAATTATGTTAAATTAAAAAGCTTAGTAAGAAAAACTGTAAGGGCCGGGGATTTAGCTCAGTGGTTCTGCCGCCTGCCTCGCAAGGGCAAGGACCTGGGTTTGATCCCCAGTACAATAAATAAATAAAATAACATACAAATAAATAAAAAGAAAAATAACTGAATACACACATTTGTCTGAAGCATACTTTATAAACAATCATATGCATATTATATGCACACACATATAGTTTGGGAAGAAATGCAAAATATTAACAATAGATAGCTCTAACCCTAAGTGTGCTAGTCTTTCAAATTTCCTGCCAGTTCAAAAAAAACAATGAGGGAAATGAGTAATCTTTACTTTCTCTACTGATCCTTAGCTTTCCTATTTGGTTTGGTTTTGTTTGTGGTAAAGGGGACCAAACCCAGGGCCTCATGCATGATAGGCACCCTTTGCTGTTTTGGTCTCCTGTTTGAAATGTTCCATATCAAGACTAGTCCCATCTGACTGAGTTTTGTGACTCCATAAGCACCTGCATCCTGGAGAAAAAGGCAAAAAACCATGTAGTAGTAGCCTCTTGTGTCTGACCTAATTTATTAAAACATATCCTGATGTCAGGAGATACCACATGCCATATCATAAAATGTAACCAGAAAAAACAATGTTATCATCACTCTGCTCAGCATATTTGAAAAGGAGGCAGTTTCATACCTGTCTGTGTAAAGGAAATTGGTGTTTTGCTTGGTTTTGCCACCTGCCTTGCAAGAGCAAGGACCCAAGTTCAATCCCCGGTACCAAAAAAAAAAAAAAAAAAAAAAAAAAAAAAAAAGAGGCAAACAACTCTGACATTATTTTTACTTAAGTACACAGGCAATTATTGACTTGATACTTGAAACAACCAATTACATGAGATTGTGTCCTAAAAATGAAAGAAGACTTACCTGGTAGAGGCAGGCTGCTGTTCCAAGGAAAAATGCAATGATGTAATTAAAATCTTCACCATCACTCTGAAACACAAAATAAAAGATTTTTTTTTTCCTGATGGAACACTGTTTCAAAAAAATAATCCACCGGGGTGAAGGGAGGATGGGGACAAGGGGAAAAAATGAGAACCAAGACCTGGCATGTAAAGGTACAAGATCCCAGTAATGAATGTAACTGTACTGTCTACCTAGAATGTACCAATAAATTAAATTTTAAAAAATAATCCACCAACACGGGACATGATAACATGATATATGCGTTGTCAAAATTTTTATGAAGTGATATATGAAAGTCTCAAGAATCCTAAGATGGAAATGTAAAATACATAAGATCCAAGGAATGGTTGGCCAGGGAAGATTACAAATATTCTTTTGCGTCTTGGACTCCCCCCATCAATTTCATTTCATCAACGAGAAGATGAAATCCCATGGGGGAAGTTCCCTCATAATGCAACAAACCTCTCTTCTTCCTGCTGAAGAAATCACATAAAAATGCACAAACTCCTGCTCGTGAGGATCACTACTTGACTCAAATAAAAATCAACAAATTTGACTATCTAGGAAGCACACCACTAAATTGTCCAATAAAGTAATCTGACCTGAGTTTAAAAGAAAACTGAATAGCCACTGTCCACTAGAGTGTGCTAAATCCCAAAAAGAAAGATCAGGACCAGTCAGCCACGTGCATGGAATTTCTTTCTTTCTTTTTGGTACCAAGGATTGAACTCAGGACCTTGTGCTTGCAAGGCAGGTGGTGGAACCACAGCTAAATCCCTGGTCCATGAAATATTTCTTTGAAAAGAAAATGAATGAAGACAAGTAACCACCCATGCTTTTCTATTTGTTCTTGGTTCCTCTTAAATATCCACATCCATCAACTTTTTTCAGTGCATTTATGAAGAACATATTAAAAATCCAGGCAGAAGGGTTAAATTTTTTAAACACAGAAATATTAAATTTAGCCCTTTTCTTATCTTAGAAAAAATGTATTTAATAATGAAAATTCCCACAAGACACAGGAAGGCCTATCATGACCATGTTTTTAGAAGATAGGATAAAGAGGAAATTCCTCTTGTCCTGCTTATTAGGCCACAGAACTGTGTGTGCTGCAGAGGGAGAGTGCTTGCTTATCTAGTGCAGAGATCTTAAAATAGGAACCATTAATCTGTCTGGATGCTCAGGCCAGTTTCCACCCCAGAGGCTGGGAAGGTCAACTTCTGCACTTTAATAATTCTAAGACCTTAAATAAGCTTTTTTTTTTTTTTTTTTTTTTTTTGTACTGGGATCGAATTCGGGACCTTGTGCTTGCGAGGCAGGCGGCAGAACCACTGCGCTAAATCCCTAGCCCAATCAGTCTCTTATTTTTTAAATGATCTTTTTTCTGATTATAAAAGTTCATGTTCATTGGAAGGGATGTGGAAAATATGTATTATAAAAAGAAGAAATTCACATTTTTGTTTTTGTTTTTTTGAGACAGGGTCTCACTATGTAGTTGAGACTGACCTAGAACTCACTATTGTGGCCCAGGCTGGTCTCGAACTCACAGCGATCCTCCTGCCTCAGCCTCCCAAGTGCTGGGATTACAGGCGTGCGCCACTACACCTGGCTTCCTTCACATTTTATATATACATAGTAATTCAGAGTTGTGATATTACGATATCAGAACTCTGAAAGAATGTCAGGCCTTTCATGTATTTTCTCCCCATCTCTCCTGCCTCTCTCTCATCTCCCTTTCTCTCAATCTCTACATGTCTGCATTTTAAAGAAATGGAACAATACTTTTGTATGCTGCCTTTTACTACTTCATATTATATTAGAAAGACTTTGTCAAGATAGTAAATATTTCTCAAGCAGAGCATGTGTAATGATTCATAACCTTTCATTGCAGGATACACTATAATTTAATTATTGTCCTATGTTTGGATATTATTCTTACTCTAAAGTTATGGTATAATTTAAAACTCTTAATTACCTCTGGATCAGGTAGGAGCACTTTCCAGAATCAGGCCTGTACTCAAATCTTTACTTAAAGATGTATTACTTTAGACCAATTATTTAACTTACTTCGCTCTTTTTAATAAAAGTTGTAAAGATTAAGTGAAATAACATTTGCAAATATGAAGGAACTGGGAGGCAGTAAGCATTCAAAATCCTTCACTAAATCTCTTCCTGGTGGCTACTGTATGTATCACTCACTGATAGTAAGATTATTTTTCAGTATTGTTTAGATTTCTAGTGTACTGACCTTATCTCCTATATTAAGATTTTTTTGTATGTTTTTGAGACAGTCTCCCTAAGCCACTAAGTTACTCAGGTTGGGCTCAGACTTGCAATCCTTCTGCCTCAGCCTCGCAGAGTAATGAGATTATAGGTGTTTGCCTAATTGAAGGCAGAAAATAAATCTTACTACTTGTATGGAACTGTATACACAGCAGGAATTCAATAAATGAATGCTGAACTGGCCTGGGCTTTGAAAAATCTTTAATTTTATTTGATAAAGAGAAGATGGTCTATAAACATATCTTTCCATTCAGTGTGTACTCATTAAGCACTTACAAGCCAGGTACTGTTACCAGACCTGGCAAAGAAAGCAATAAATTCCTTACCATCTCAAGGAGCTCACTCTCTAATTAAGAAGGCAGAGCATAAATGGTTCTCACTCAGAACTGATGGGTAAGTAAGTGTATGTAAGGTGAATGGTGTGGGGCTCACTGTAGATGCACCTAATTCTGCCTGGAGAAGAAACAGTCAGCAGGTTTCCCAAAGGAAATCAAGCTTGATCTGGGTCTTAAAGGATGAACAGGGAGACAAGGCAGGAGGAGAATTGTGGGCAAAGTGGGTAGCATGTGTGGTGTCAAAGAGGGCGCCGGATAAGTCACACATGTGTAAATACCGAATAGTTTCTCTGGTGTGAATAATCTGCAATAATACATAAGATCCTAATAAGATTACTGACATTTAGAAATGGGAAGAAAGGAGCTAAAGGTGTAGGGAAGGTAGGATGGGTAGGGGACGGGTAATAAGGGAAAAGAAAAAAATGTGAGATAATGAAAAGATGGAAATAAAGTATTTCTAGATGGGGAGGGGAGAAGGGGGTGAAGGGAGGGTAGGGACAAGGGGAAAAAGTGAGAACCAAGACTTGTCATGTAGAGGTACAAGATCCCAACAATGAATGTAACTGTAATGAATCCCTAAAATGTACCAATAAACTCAATTAAAGTTGAAAAAAAAAAGAGGGCGCCGGCTAGGATGACTACAACATTTCTTGTGTGGGGAATTATTAAATGATATCCTGCACTAGACTCGGAATATAGGAATACAAAGAATTTGAGGACAAAAATACTAAGCTCATTCTAAAAATAGTGTTTTGGAGTTGCCAGTGGGACTTCCAAATTAGTAGATATTTAAGTCTGCTTTCGGAAACTTTTTGGAAATCTACTTTGGTAGTCATCTACTTAAAAAGTAGTTAAAGGAAGACCCTATGACAATCAAATACAAGTCTTAAATCTTGGCTCCTAAATTAGGCAGGGAGTGCTAGGGAGAGAGAGGGGTAAAGGGAGGGAAGGAGGGAGGGAGGGAGAGAGAGAGAGAATATGATGAATGAATTAAAAACACTATAAAGAATATCTTGGGGGCAACTGTGGAAATGTGATTCTAGATTTTCTACTAGGTAATACTGTCCCAAACTTAAATTTCTTTAGTGTGAAAAGGGCATTGTATTTATGTAAAAGCATGTTTTAGTTTTTAAGACACACATATTGAATAGTGTTGGAATAAACTGTAATGGTGCTTGCAATTTTACTTTCAAATGAGTCAGCAAAAAAGGGAAATGGCAAGGGAAAAAGGTAGATGTTAACTGCATTATTCTTTAAAATTTTATAAGCTTTAATACTTTAAAGATAAGACACTGTGCTGCTGTGTGGAGGAAATAGGAATACAAAGGAAAAATGTTGGGGTCACTGAAAAGATCAGAATAGATCTTTATGTATCGATATGATGTGATCCACATATTATTTAGGGAAAAAGACGCAAATCGGTATTAGGAGTAATCACTATTTGTATAAAATGATTTAAAAAGAATAATTCCATAAATATATAGGTACATGTATCTAGCACATAATCTCTCGTGGTTGGTTCTGAGGGGGAGAAATGGGAAGAGAATTACTTTAAGGTGAAAATTATATAATCAACTTTTGTAGATTTTCAAATTTACCAGGTGCAAGGGCTAGAGGTGTAGCTCAGAGATACAGTATGTACTTAGTGTATGTAAGGGTCTGGGTTCAATCCCAGCCCCCCCCCAAAAAAAAGGAAGGAAGGAAAGAGTTAAGAGTTAATTTACTATGTGCACATTTTGCATATTTTGCCGAGTATGCATGGATGCAGTACACAGTAACTTTTTTAAAAAGCCATTTTGAAAATATCCAAAGAGAAGATGTAGAGCTAGAAGACTATAAAGTCAAGAATAGAATAATGGAGAATGTCACTATTCAAAGGACAAGTGGAAAAAGTTTCTTATAAACTGAACAAGGAAGAAAACAATAAAAATGGCAAAAATGGCTGTATGGAAATGGGAATGAAAGCCTGTCAAGAATGTAATACATCAAACTATTAACAGTGCTTTTTTTTTTTCCACTTAGGTTTTCCAAAGTAAACATTCTTAAAAATCAAACAAGGTTGTTTTTTTGTTTTGTTTTTTTGAGATGGGGTCTCACTATACAGTCAAGACTGACCTGAAACTCACTATGTAGCCCAGGCTGGTCTCGAATTCACAGCGATCCTCCTGCCTCAGCCTCCCAAATGCTGGGATTACAGGCCTGTACCACCATACCTGGCTAAGGAGTTATTTTTAAAGGAAGAAGAAAATGACAGATGAGATGAGGTCACTGAAGACAGTGGCTAGAGTTTGGCAATCAGAAGGACACTGGTGATCTTAAGAATCTTGGGGGCCTGGAAGAGACCGCAGCAGACTAAGAGAGTAGAATAAGGAAGGAAGCAAACAAATTAAGCCTACTCTTTCAAAAAAC